AGATTCAGCATACAGAATAAAGCAGCCCAGTTTTTTAAATTCGGCTTATTAATTGTATTATGCCTACATGGTATTATGCCTATGATTATAAGTTGTAGTTAAAAAACACATAATTTATAGACTATAATTGATGCTTTTATTTACTTCAGGTAAATAAGTGAAACTGAAATGTTGTTGCTACTGCAGTGGTACTTGCTATGCAAAAGTCAAAATACATTAGAAATTATTGATTCTATCAATCAACCAGGCCACTTTAGGATTTAGGATTGCACATGGTAAGGGATATTTGTTTATATAAAAATGATTTAAGGTTGAAGAACAAAGAAGTTTTCCACTGACTCACTCTTTTCACTATTTCTCACTATTTTGGTTATGCCTCACTTTTTATTACTATTTAAACAAATTAATCACTATTCTCAATTTTTTTGACAATGCAATGATTGTAATGCCATAACGATAACAATTATCAAATTTATTGTTAAGAATATAAACACTGTTTCCAGTTTTCCATACTCATAACATTATTATTTTTGAAGGGTGAAAAGTGAAGACACAGATATCACTGACTAAATAGTCTTCACGATAACGACAACTATCCTTAAGAGGATGTAACACTAGCATTTGTTGTCTCCGTCTTACAAGTGCGTAACATAGAAAATGTACACACAGCAGATCACTTGTAGGCTGTAGCTTGGTCAGTTTAAAAATTAAAATGAACCTATTATACATGCAAAACTTGCTAAAAAATGAACTATTGTAAAAAACCCACTTACAAACACAGATAATGTTCTTAACATCAAGTTTCATAATAGGTCGATTTGTTTTAATTTTTAAACTGACGAAGCTACAAGTGATCTGCTCAGCGTACATTTTCTATGTTGCGCACTTGTAAGACGGAGACAACAAATGCTAGTGTTACATCCTCTTAAGGATAGTTGTCGTTATCGTGAGGACTATATAGTCAGTGATATCAGTATATCACTGTTCTGTGTCTTCACTTTTCACCCTTCAAAAATAATAATGTTATGAGTATGGAAAACTGGAAACAGTGTGTTAGTCCTCTTAAAAATATAGAAAAAAAAAAAACTCTTTCTTCGGATTTGTCATTAGTGGAAAATTATTATATTCTAATACTATAACTATATTATTATATACTCATTTTAATTATGTATTTAATTAATTTTGTTACATAATAAATTATAAATATATGGTTTATATTTAAAATTGAATGGTTTGGTTTTTGTAATATACTAATTGCCAATAGTTAAGTATATCTTGAGTATACTTCTTAATACTCACTATATTTTAAAGTTGGACTTCCTATATTTATTGAAATACTTACTATTCTCACTATTTATTAGACAGGAGTCAGTGGAAATCCTGAAGTTCTTTTATCAATATATTTGTTTGATGATATGATCATAAAATATTACTATGGGACAATTTCAATGCAATGCTCTTGATTTTTCTCGTCTTGGGTACTTTTGGAGTTTACAGAACAAAATCAACAATTTTTACTCTTTTGTTGCTGTTGTAATCAATTGAATATTTAATGTATTTCAAGGGTGTATTGAATGAAAGATGTGGTGTACTGGTGAATGCCACAATGAATCTGTAATTTTATATCAAATCATATAGCGTACCAACCATTGGATCATGTATAGCAAGTGAGTTATATTTTTCACAATTATTGTTATTATTATTATGGTGTATATTATACATGAGACATGTTTATTTTTTCTAGACTTTGTCATTGCTCATGTTAATAGCATGTAAAAGTATTATTTAAATTAAGAAATGCACTAAAAAAATTAATTATTGTTGATACAGATAATATAGTTAAGATCAATAATATGTAAAATCACTAATATTATAGCTAACAACACAAAATTGATTGTGTGTGTTAAATAGTTACATTTACAAGCCAATATAAATATTTTGTGGTGTTAATATAATTATATTTGTTCAAGGTTTATTATAAGGGTGTTGGGTGTACAATGGTCACTCCATGGTCCCTCCATACTTCCGTCACAGAAAAGCGGATGGCTGACATTAGTTGATCAGAATGTGCTGTAAGTGGTCTTGCAAATTTCACGGATAACAATATTCAAGTAATTAAAAAAAAAAAAAATGTTTTGTATAACTAGCTGTAGTAGTAATAAGTGAGCCACAGTCATGTGCCAAGGCTACCATTTCTATAATTTTGTCAGTTCAAGACATTAATAAATGGTAGGATTTTTTTCAGTTAGATAGTGGAAACAATTTTTTTTTAAATTTGTATTGATAACTTATGAACTTAAGTGTACATTTTTTTTCAATTAGTCAAATATTAAAAATAATAAAATTATTGTTATGTACTAAAATTGGCCAAGACAATAAATTTAATGCTTGTAAGACTATAAACTGCTGGCTGTTATATGTTAATTTAATTTAAACTTAGACAGTTATTTTTGGCCTTTCATTCACTTAACTGTTAACTTACTAAATTACTTTTTTTAATAAACTTGAAATTAACGAATTAATTATTTATTTTAAGAAGTAAGTTAAGTTAATTTATTTTGTTTTTAATTTTATTATATTTCACTATTTGGGCCTATTTTGTTTTCATGTCAAAAAATGTTTACAGTGAATATTTTGAAGTTGAAAATTTATATCATTCGAATCTAACTTATATGAAAATACTGTACCTATAAAGTATAAACACTGTAGTCCATAATTTAGTTTTAGGTTGGATAAAAATTAAGTACACTAGCATTGTATAAAAAAATTAACTTTTAACTTTTAGTTATTGATGCATATTAAATTAACTTATCTGAGTTAAAAAAAAATCATTAACTTGCACTGCCTTGGGATTTTACCTCCTTGGGTACAAATTTTTTTTACCCACATTGGTTTTTTCATAGTGGCACTTATAAGACGGAGACAACAAATGTCTGTATAACGGGTACTCGTCTTGTATTGGAGGTTTACTTATAAACTTCTTTGTTGACTATTTTTTCGGTATGAAAATAGTTCAAATAATGTCTATTATGAGGGTATCATAAAGGAATAAATTTATTGTAATGAAATAATTTATAATATAGTCATGACTTTTTAAAATTTTTTTAGGAAAAGCAGACGGCATCACAATTGAACGATGGACAAGAAGATTGGGTGTCACATCATTAAATCAACAGAGATTGATTGAAGTTTTATTCATTTAGTGCATTTAACAAAAAAAAAATTTTTGCTGATATTTAAATAATACTTTTAGGTCAAATTTAACGGTTTTAGGCAAGGCCAGAACATTTCTTTTTTTTTAAAAAGGTCTGGTTGCTATTACCTGGTCATCCGTGAAAATAATATATTATTGTTCTTATCAAAGATTTGAATGTTTCAACAGTGTATAAAATTGAAATCATCAAAAGAGTATAAAAATAAAATCTTAAGAAAATAATAACACATTATTACATATGAATAAAAAGAAAATAAATAGCATAAAAAAAATGTACTTTTATAAATAACCAATTTTTGTAATATGACATAGATGTACTACCTTTAAACGAATTCTAATAATTTTATTAATTTAAGGTATCATAATTTAATATAATAGTCACATTTTAAAATAACATAATACTTTCTTATTTATTTCATCAAATTAAATAGATAAAATTGCAACTAAATAACAAACTTGAATAATATAAACAAATGAATAACAATCTTAAAAAAAAGAAGAAAAACTTATGTACCTAATTTTACTGAATCAGTCTTTAATTTACAAATTATAAGCATATAATATGTGTTTACATAAGAAAATGTGACTTGGGTTCCTTTTAACAAATTCCCATTCATATTATTTTAATGGGGATATAAACTTGTAAATTTAACTTTTACATTTTATTAAATTAATGAATTATTATAATTTGTTTTCAGTAGGGTTAAGAGGGTGTCAGCGCAGTTTAATATTGCACTGAATTGGCCTATTATACAACTTAAAGTTAAGAACATTCTATTTGTCTATGCTGTTTAAATTTTTCTACTATATATGACCATTTTAAAAGTTTAATGTTTTATTTACAACTTGCATAACAATTGAACCATCATAAAAAAGGAAAACTTTGATAATGGTTCAATTGACTATCATAATATTAAACTTATCAACACTAAGATTAGCTCTGTTGTATACCAATTTGCTATGCTGCGTGTGGGTCGTAAGAGTTAGAAAAAAAATTAATTATGAAGTTATTTATTTTCATTTCATTTACATTCATATACCAATACCTTTTTCTTAATGTTAAATACAATACATATTATTATTATGAAACAAATCTAGGATTATTCCCCGTGAGTACCTGCGTATTATGTTATGTGTTGAAAAAATTATATTATATATGCAATCGCTCAAATTATCAAAGTGCATAATGTAATAACTAATAACTTTAAATTTATTTTCATAGTAGTAAAATGTTTAATGTCATATGGCTTTAAAATTATTTTACGATTTAATTAACTAATTATAATAAGTAATTACTTTTTTATTTTGTTTTAGCGGTAGCAGTTTTTGTGCGATCAATACGACCAATATCGACCTACTACTATTATAGATATCCTATCAGCCTGCGTTTTTTTTAATATAAGTGGAACCATTATATAATTATATTTTGGTTATATACCACATCGGAGTGTATACGAAAGTATTGGAACTCCTTTTTATCATTCCCCACGTGGTCCATTGATTTATAATTTTATATAATTTAAATCTTTGGTGTTACTTCCACGACAGAGTGTATACAAAGTTGTATTGGAACTCTAAGCCAATTTGCCTGGTTAAATCTTTGATTTTAAGTACGGTATACTGTACTATTGATACAAACACCTCTAGTGTGTGTACTATAAGTATATTGTAAACTTTTAATAAATAATACTATTTCTGTATAATATATCTTTCATTACCATATTAATAAAAACACCGATTCATTAAAAACAAGTTTTTTTTTATTTTTAAAATAAAACAATTAATCATGTTCAATAACATTGACATGGAACAATGCGGTGGAACAAACGGTACGTCAAAACTTTCCCCACTTGGCGAGAGTGATAATATTATAGAAGTATCTCTTGCCAAAAAAAAAATATGTGGGCATATTCAAAAAGTAAGTCTTAAGAACAGGGTTAAGGATGTTGCCGATTACATTAGATTAAAATACCCATCTATAATAAACGAATCTGTTAAAATGTCTGATCCGAGAATAATAGATATTTGCAAAGAGGTATTTAAAACTAAAAATATCAAAAAACTAAGCAAGGACGTAGTAAAAGCATTGTCAGCGAGCAACTCAACGCTGTGTAAACTCATTAAAGGAACTACAGAAAATAATATCCCTACAAACATAAACTGTTTAATACCTTACAAAAATGAGTTGGTACTACGTCCGTATCGAGCTGTAAATGAAATTTGTAGTCTGAAAAAAATTACGAAAAGTAAAAAGAACATAATGCGTTTACTCCGTAAGAGTGAAAGGTCTCATCAAATAAACGAGGAAATCTCTAAATCTGTAAATTGTGGTGAAGGCGTACATACATTTTTGCCGGTACACATCAGTGAGTCTAACGTTGACAACAATTTAGATGTCTGTGACAGAGTAGTGGAAATCGGTCAACACTCAAACATAAGTTGTGAGTCAAATAAACTAGGATTCCACGACAATTACGAAAAATTGACGGTCAACAATTCAGGTAAGAATCCTTATGAAAATGAAAACATAACAGTGTTGACAAGCTGCAATAGAGAGTCTGATACAATTGACACATCCTCAAATGAAATACTGAAAAGGGATGTTAGGCGAAAACTAGATTTTAAAGTACACTGTGACACAGAGTCAGAGACTTCAAAGTGTACAGTGATAAAGCAAAGAAATGAAACTTTTGAGATTGATGATGGTGTATGCAAACTTGATTGGACCTCTGACGATTTGAACAATAGTTTCCTTAGATGTGGTGAAATTCAAACGATTGAAGAGACAAATGACTCTTTGGTTGCTGACTGTTCTAATATTATCACTTCTACTCCAATAAGGTTAGAAGTAGACATTTCCAGGCAACAGGCATTTACACATTCACCGCAAGCCGTTAATTTTAGTTATCATAAAAGTTATGTTGACGGTAATAATTGTTCTCCTATGAAATCTATAGTGCTACCAAATGAGGCGGAGGTGATCGACGCTGTAACTCCAATAAAACTGCCTGGAACTATTGTCGCTTGCAGCACTCCTGAGGCAGATGCAAAAGCACTTCCCAAGAATTCTAAAAACATATTTCCTTTGACAATACGTGGTGATCTAGAAAATAAAAAAGAAAAAAGATATAATTTTTCATATCTTAACACCATAGAGGGAACTTTTGAGTTATCTATTTGTGAATGGAATGAACTTGAAAAGTTGTCTAATGAACATGGTAGAATGTCCTTAGACCTTAGAAATATGTTAATTAGAGATAAGTTTGTAACCGTTAATAACTCTTGTGTTCTGTCCATAAAAAATGTTAATAAAAATAGCAGCGGTGAATTCACTAGCATTTATGGTTACTGCAGACACAATACTTGTAAAAGTTTTAAGTTTGATTTTGAAAAAAAAACTGAAAGTGCAGTTAAGGTATATGTACTTAGCAATCAAATAAACTATAGCCATGGTGGAAAATTAACAAACTTTCTTAGAGGACCGGAGCGAATGAGTTATCGAAAAGAGGCGGGTCACATAAAACCGTTGGCTTTGAGGCAAAAACATGTTATGAAATCTTCTCCTAGCAAAATAAAACGAGGGAACCTTCAACAAATAAGGTCAACCAGTGTGTATAACAGAGTGTCACACGAGACTTTGAGTAAGTTTGATTTCGATAGCGATGACAGAGTAGATATGGTACAAATGGCTTCTGTAAACTCGGAATTTGTGAAATACGTATCACACCCTCAAAGTCATAACTTTGAATGTTACATTTTCAGTAAAGAACAATTGATGGTTTTGAATAAACTAAAGCCAGTCACATTACATGTTGACGCGACGGGTACAGTCATAAGACCTACTACGTTAAAAAAAAAACAAGAAAAACGTTTATTGTACTATGCGGCAGTAATAAAAGCAAACGATCACATGATGCCAGTTGCGGAATTCATAAGTACCGATCAATCGACAACAGCTATTTCCAGTTGGTTATATGCATTTAAACGGTTTGCAACAGAACACGGCTTTGACGTGTCAGATTTAATTGCGAATGTTACTAGTGATTTCTCTACGGCAATAATCAAATCGCTGGCACAGGCTTTTAACGGGTGCAAAGATGTCATTGACTACCTAGATCAATGTTATGATTACTTGTACGAAAATAAACAAATGAAATCAAAAATCATACTCAATTTGTGTTGCTGTCACTTGGTGAAAAACATTTCAGACGACGTGTTCAAGTACTATGGTGCAGTTGGCAAAAATAATAAAAACAAAGATCTTGCACGTATCATTGTTGGTTTTGTAACACCAGCATTCGACCTGAAAATCGCAAATGATTTGGATAAATGGTTTAAAGCACCTTTGCACTGTTATACTTTCACCTTACCAAAATGGCGATGTCCAGAAATCCGTCGACTACCTGCTTAAACTTAACAGTAGCGATATGTCGGTGTTGAATTCGAAAGAGTACAAAGATTTTGAAAACATTTTGTCCTTAAATTGTGATGGAACGCAGGTAGATGATCTGAAAACAAACCCATCATCAAAGGGAAAATATAAAGCTTCAAAGTTTTATGGTCGTTTTGCGAAAATGTCGAGAGACATAAAAGCATCATTTACATCAGACAGTAAAGGCGTTCCAAATGAGTTTCACAACGAAGAATATTTCAGCGACTTGATGGGATCTGTTGTACCCGTCATACCAATGTGGACTTGTCTTATGTTATATTCCAAAATAAAAGTCTGCCATAGACCAAATAATTCTGGTGCAGAATTATGGTTTCATTATCTCAAAGGGAACAGCCTACAAGCAAAAAGTATGAAATGTAGTCGCTTCATAAGGCTTACTAGAGACAGGATAGAAAGTGTCACCAAGGAAGTCCTGTGCGACATACCCAACACGCGTTGTGCCATTCCCAAAAAACAAAATGTCGATTGCAATATTGTTCGGAAAAACAAAAGAGTCATATCATTAGATACTGTCACAGATCTGAGCGACGATGAAGACGCTGAACAGTGGAGAGCTAGAAAAAATAAAAAAATAGGTTATTTTAAGCAAGGCAGCTTAATGGCAAATATGAAAAAATTAAAACCTATTCAAACTATAAACGAGAAAACAGAGACAGTAGTTGATTTAACTACGATTAGTGATGAAGAGAATCAAATAACAGAAAATAATATGGTCACCCCAAGAGCAGTAAAAACTGTAGAAACATTTACGACGCCTGGTAGTTACTGTTCACCTATAGATAAAACACAATTTAAAAATGATACTTACCCTAACAGACTAAAAAAAGATGTCAATTTTTATAGAAAAATGGTCAGAAACAATGACACCAAAGACGAAAAAAGTTACGTAGTAGGCATTTATAAACACGTAAAAAACACTACAGAATACACAGATATATTATTTTCAGATTTTGATACACTATCCGATTATCGGTCGGATGATCTTAACAAAATGTGGCTAAATAATTTTGTGATATCTATTATATTGGCTAGTTATTCTGTGAAATATAGCCAAAAGTCAAATACCCAAATATTCAGAGCAAATTTGGTTGATTCTATAATTGAAAACCAAAATTATAAAGGTAAAGTTTCTATAAAAGAAAATAGTTTTCTCATTATACCTTGGAATGTAGGAGAAACACATTGGATAATAGCATTTGTAGATTTTTGTAAAAAAGAATGTTACATATTGGATCCAATGGGACATCCGACCGATGAGCGTTTCAAGAAGTTGATTAGGGGACTTAAACTGTTCTGTTCGTATGGCGAAAATAAATGGTTTCCAAAATTGAATTTAAGTACCCATAAATTACAAAATGTTCCGCTACAAAAAGATTGGTACAACTGTGGAGTGTACATACTATATTATGCCATTACATTGATGAAAGGAGAATGTTTTAATAAGCTTTTCGAACCTATGGAATATAGGCAGTATCTCAAGACATATTTGTTGGAAAATTCTGATTTCATGAGAGACATCTGCTTATATTGTGGCCGGACTGGTAAGAGTCATAGAATAGTTTGTGGTAAAAAAGGTGTTGAATGGGTTGAGTGCACGGACTGCAACCGTTGGATGGTGATTGACTGTATTCCTGATGAGGATAAATTAGACACAACAGCACACTATGAACAGAGTGATTTTAAATGTCTTTTGTGCCAGGAAAAACATTAATTAAAAACTTAGAAAATAAAATTAAAGCTATGATCAATTATTATAAAACAATAACACTAATAATTATTTTAGTCTCGAGTAGTTAAATACAAATATTAAGTGAGTACCTACCAATAGTAAGTATTTAAATAGTTTAGTAGTAATACCATACACCTAATTTAGTACTAGTTTAACTTGAATACCTACTTTACAACACTAAGTTCCTCTTAGTTGGTGAGCAATAGTCAACAATAATAATTAATAGGTATAGTGAATTCATAATTGATGCAAATAACAAGATGTGTATAATGGACAGGAAAATATATTTTATTTTTTAATATATACCTATGAAACAAAATAACATTAATAGTTAAGATAGGTACCTACTAACATAATAAATCACTTGTGAGAAGCGTTGTTTTCTATAGGCCTACTGGGGATCATTTCAACGCAGAAAAAAAAATGAAACGAATCCATAGCATTACCTCTTGGGTGGATTTGGAAAATGCACTTCTATAATAGTACATTATACATTATAATTATAATACATTATAATATTACTTTACCTGTAACAATAACATTTAACACTAACTGACATTCCACACTTACAGTAGCTTCAACACACTGCAATTGATCTGAATACTTTTACTATACGTACAATAAGAACTCAGCAATAATAGCAGTGAACAAGTGACCCTAGGAAAAATGTCAGCAATAATTAGTGAAAACACGTATAGCCACAACAACTGTAAATTCGTAAATCGTAATACAAATATTGAGTATTTGAGTATTAATGATACGTAGCAATAAACTTATACAATAATAAAGTGGTAACACTGATTTCATAGCGTACGATAATTAGTTGGCAATAGAGAACAAAAAGTTAGCAATAATCAATGAGAACCACTGAAATTTTTTTATCACAGATTGTCGATTATTGCTAATGTAATTTTCATTATATATATGTATATTTCAATGAGTTAAGCACAATGATGCAATCAGAATTTGTCGACTAGACTTAGTTCCAAGGTTATGAACTTTTAAAGATTGTAATTTTGAATATTATACGTCTACGCAGGTTATTTCACGAACGTAGGTACTAGAAAAAGTACACTTTAAAACTTTATTAAAAAGTATGTAAGTAACCCCCTCGCATTCATAATCCTGGCTACGCCACTGATTATAATAGGGATTTAATAAAATATATTTAGGCTGGCAGACCGTCTCCTCTCAGAATAGTCTTTCTAGGTAGGTACCTATGTACAGTTGGTAAATTAGCCATAAAATACATTGAATACGTGTACGCTATTTACAGTTGACAAGTAAAATGTTCTGCACAGAATAATATGACTGTTACTTGGTCAATTACGTAGTAAGTATTACGATAAATTAAATCCTAAGAATTACTCAACTCTACCGTCTCTACCCAAGTATTGCACAGCGGCAATTATTGTATACCCAGTTCGTGGTGTATAAGTAATAAATTTGTTATACGTAAATACTGGGGATTTAGATTAATTTAGGTTGATATAACTTAGGTTACATAACTTAAAAATTATATTATTAATATTATTTATCATGGTTTTTACTTATCAGTTATCATGTAGACATGCGGTTATTTCTATCGGTAAAATCCAAATATGTCGGAGTAATATAATATAATATCGTAGTAATATATGTTCGAAGTAATTGATATCGGAGCAGTATTATGGTTGACAATAAAAATTTTTTTTCGGAGTAATACAAGTTCATAGTAGTATATAGTCGTAGCACTGGTGTTATCCCTCTTAAGGCATGTTGTCCACAATGAAGTAATATGCGGCTGCACTCTTTATATTAGTATAGAATTAAGTTATTTGCAGTATTTCCTGTTAAGTACACAAAAACCGTCTTAAAATTATCCTTCAAACGGACCTACATGGCATTACGAGTTTACTGATAACGAGTATTTAACACATATCAAAACTGTCATATTTCAAAAAGCAAAACTCTTATCATTTATATAAAGTGTAAATAATAGTTATAATACAAATATCTATTAGAACGAATGGCTTAAGCTCAAAATGTCTTATTTATAAAAGAGAAAAATAATAATTTTAAAAACCTTTCTTAAAATCAAGTTTTTTATTTGGACATTAAATTTATTCAATAGATACTTTTCTAAAGATCGTAAACAGTTATGTGGTACCTTAAGTAAGTTTATACAAATTACATTTTGATTCACAACAAATTATATAATATTATTATATTTAAGTATCTGAAAATGAAATTATAAGTACCTCCTTTATTTAATTTATTATTGTATATTATTAGATACGATTTATGTACAAATAGAATAAAATACAATATGATCGTATATGGTGAATACAAATTTAATTTATAATTATTTTTATAATCATATTTGAACATTAATATTAAAGTCATTGATATACGAACGGGCTTTGACATTTAGTTTATGAATTATGAATAGGTACTTTATTATATTATAATAATATACTGTTACTACATTATATAATCATAATATCAAATAAGTATTCATAACCGTTCTTATGGATTATGAATACACATCATAATAAATTGTAAAAAATATACTTGAGAGTGTTATGTAGGTCTTCAAAACATAGAAACGCTGAAAAAATTTAAGTGAATTCACTATAACGTAATGTTATAAAATTTAAAGATAAAGATGCTCAACTAACGCAATTTATAGGTTTTGATAATTAAAAAAATATTTATATTTTAATTTTAATTTTGAAACAAGAATTTTAAAATTGTAATATTTTACATTTTTAAAACTCACTTTAAAATTATAATATCAATATTAACCTACGATTAGCCTTGGACAATATTCTTACCATTAATTTTTTTGCGTAAATAAATTTTCTAGATAACATGTTGTACGTTTGTAAGACCTGGCATTTATATATCATTATTATTTCAATAGGGATTTGAAACCTGAAAATGTGTTGATTGCCGATGATGGTTTTATAAAATTAACAGATCTAGGATTGAGCAAGCGTATAACTTCCAATCGAACGACCACTCTTTGTGGTACTCCGTACTATTTGGCACCAGAAATCATAGCAATCAAACCGTACGGAAAACCCGTGGACTGGTGGGCATTAGGCATAATCATGTTTGAAATGGTTGCTGGGACAGTGCCATTCATGGCTGACAGTGAAAAAAAAACTGTTCTATAGAATCTTGAGCGGTAGTTACAAAATGCCAATCAATTTTTCCTCAAACCTTTCACACCTTAATAAAAACTTACTACGAGTAGACCTATCAAAAAGATATGGAAACTTAGTAAATGGAATTTCTGACATCAAACATCACCGGTAAGATAATTAATTATTTTGGAGGACAGTTAAAAAGCGTAATGTGTGCATTGTAAATAAGTACATAACCTTACAAACGAATTCTGCGTTTTCATTATGTTTTAAAAAGTGCCTAAATCCATACATATTTATAGAGAACCCACGATTTTAAAATTTGATACTTTTTAACTTCGTAGGTACCTATTATATTTAAGGTAGTTGGATCATAATAATCTATAACAAAAGGTTTAAACATACATTTCATGTGACATTTATTTTATCGATAAATGTGTAACAAGTAAATTAATTACAGTAAGATAATTGTGTGATAATTTATTTATTACTGTAGCATTTACCTCTACCGCACAATATGTAATACCAATAAAATAAACATCCTAAAACTACTTGAGATATTATATTTTCACTTTTACACTCTTATGTAAATAAAAATGAATGTATGTCAGTGTGTCTGTGTGTCTGTGTGTCCATGTTACCATGGTTACCAAGGTTGCCATGGTTACTAAGGTTACCAAGATCAAATAATAACGAATGTACAATGGCGCACAAAAAATCATTAGAAGCCCTTGATCGCACCCTAAGAGATTTAAGAGGAAATCCTGGCCTATTATTCGGTGGTGCACTCATTTTGCTGTCCGGTGATTTTCGGCAAACTCTACCGGTAATACCACGTTCAACCCCAGCAGATGAACTCAATGCATGTCTCAAATCTTCAGGTTTGTGGCTGCACGTGCATAAATTGAGCTTGAAGACTAATATGCGGGTACAACTACGGAATGAGGCATCGGCAGATTTGTTCGCAAAACAATTGTTAGATATGGGTAATGGCTTAATGACCGTCAATCAATCAACACAATGCATCACATTGCCGGCCGATTTCTGTAAGATCACGGCTACCGCAGATGAGTTAATTGCAAAGGTCTTCCCGAATCTGCCACAAAATTACAAAAATCTTCAGTGGCTCGGTGCCCGGGCCATATTGGCAGCCAAAAACATCGATGTGAATGCTATCAATTTCAGAATTCAAAACAAGGTACCAGGCGAATTGAAAACTTACAAGTCCATAGACACTGTAACGAGTCAAGACGAGGAAGTCAATTATCCACCTGAATTCTTAAATTCGCTTGATTTGCCAGGCATGCCACCGCACGTTCTATCGTTGAAAATTGGCGTTCCCGTCATTCTTCTACGAAACATCAATCCTCCACGACTCTGTAATGGTACCAGGCTTTCGGTAACGAAATTGATGAACAACATTATCGAGGCTACAATTTTAAACGGAAAGTTTATGGGCGAATATGTAATGTTGCCCCGAATCCCAATGATTCCTACGGATTTGCCCTTCACGTTCAAACGTTTGCAGTTTCCGGTGCGAATCGCTTTTGCCATGACCATCAACAAGGCACAGGGCCAATCACTACAAGTGTGTGGCCTAAATTTGGAAAATCCATGCTTCTCCCATGGACAGCTGTATGTTGCCTGCTCCCGCGTCGGGAGACCGGAAGATTTGTATGTGTACGCCCCAGATGGTAAAACGAGAAATATTGTATATCAGAATGCCCTTCTGTAGTTGGCAAGCGTGAACCTGGGCACAAATGATGGGTAATCCCTTTTTGATTATGTTAATTAACGTTTTGAGATTAATATAAACTGTAAAATACATATGGAGTAGGTATTTTTAATGGGCGACGAGGTGCACGGGTTCAGCTAGTATGTAAATAAAAACCACTAATTAAAAAAAAAATAACCTTACTCGCCGATGTCAAGTTTTAATTATTATGAAAATATTTGTTGAACTTATAAGCTAACCTAACTAGGTTTTGTAGTAAATATAGTTTTGCTCGTTAAAATCTCATTTTCTTAAAATAAACCATAAAAATATCGTGATTTTCAGAGCGATGGTGATTAAAAGTAAACATATTTTCCTAAAATACATAAAAAAAAAAACGAGTTCGGTGTAAACATTGAGTATAAAAATGGTCACAAATAATATCTGTCGCGATATAAAAGTTGTGTGAGGATTAATTTAGTATTTAATGGTCATTATAACTATTAGTCATTAGATGACTGAAATGTGTGTTACATAATATATATATTAAACATTTTTGTTTGATAAATAGTGTAGGTAACTACAATATTTTTTTTCAGATGGTTTATCAAAATAGATTGGATAATACTCTACAATAAGAAATTGGTGCCACCATACATACCAACTTTTACTAGTCCATCAGATACACATAACTTCGAATCATTTGTCGAAGAAGATGCCTCTATTGTATGTAATGGGGTTGACCAAACTTATTTCGCCGATTTTTAACAGAACATAATAAATAATGAGCAACAAGTATATTATATAAAATAATAATGTCATAACTGTAAAATTTCATCCAATGTAAGAGTGGATCTTAGTTCAAAATAGGGTATTTTTAGTTTATAAAATTATGCAACAGATCAATTTTATGAATAAATGTATATTATTTGTTTTTAAAAGGACGTCACATCATGTGTGATAAAATCATATTTTAACGTTGGGTAATAACCACTGTTCTTGGTTACCACTTTCTTACCATAATATAATTAGGAAACCTTGGACTGTAAAATATCGATTTAATTTTTTTGTTAATAACAAACATAAAATGTCATGTAAAATCTGATATTTTTATGTTTTTCCAAATTGAAAATTTTAACGAGCAAAACTATATTTACTACAAAACCTAGTTAGGTTAGCTTATAAGTTCAACAAATATTTTCATAATAATTAAAACTTGACATCGGCGAGTAAGGTTATTTTTTTTTTAATTAGTGGTTTTTATTTACATAAGAGTGTAAAAGTGAAAATATAATAGGTATCTCAAGTAGTTTTAGGATGTTTTATTTTATTGGTATTACATATTGTGCGGTAGAGGTAACTGCTACAGTAATAAATATATAATCGGATAACTTGTATTCGTAGCATTTTACATTCGGAGTAATATGTTCGGAGCATTATATTATCGTGGCAGTGAACTATCGTGGCAGTACCTAGTAGCAACCCGCCTTAAGAATAAACCCAAATCCACCCACTACTGTCGGCCATAACAAATTATAACTTCTGACATCGAGTCTATACCGTTTAATACAATTATTAATTACCTATAGATTATATCCAGCGAATGTAAATATTGAAGTGCTAGGACCATTTTCAGCTTTTTCCGTTGCAACTTGTCAACCAAACACAATGGCGTTAATGAAACAGGTAAATATACAGTAATTATTATTAAGGTATTAGCGGACGCTGTAAGATAACATGTGTTTTCTTCGTCTTAACGTACGACACAAAGAATATGCGTTCATCAGAATCGTTTTTGTCTGATGTTAGTTTGAAATGTTTAAATATAAGAATAACTTTACCATCAAAAAAATTAAAAGGTAATAACATCATCTTTTCTTAAGCGTCGTTTTTATTTTTAATTTTTAATTTTTATGCGAGATTACCATTTTAGAATAGATTTTTTACATTAGTGATATTTCACATAGGTAGGTACTTACTCTTTCTTTATGTTTTAAAAAATAAACTCTTATTAAAACAGACGCACAGATTATGTTCTTACCCTTATGTTTATTAACATTTCAATCCTCTCCAATACTAAAAGTAACAACACACAAATACATAATTCACAATCAATTCAGATGAACATGAAATTGCTACATCGTTTGTACCTATTATAAGTTTGTAAAACACACTTCACAATATGCATGGACAGTCTCCTGAACTAGCCACTAGGTACAGGAATTGTGGGCATTATAATAGATATTTGTTTTTTATTATATTATTGTCTAGGGCTTGCTGTCATTAAAATCGAATGTTTCTAATGTATTTTTCTATATTTTTAGAAACGAACAGCATGGGTTATTGCTCTATTTCTTGAATCCCCAACGTACCAGTACAGTGTCATACCAACAACTTGGGTTTTCCAATCAACTGATGACTGTGGTAAAATAACAATATTTTCTAAATGGCCACCTGGATTAGATGAAAACGTTACCAGTGAAATAATAAAAAATGCAACCACTCCAACACAAGATTGGTCTTCTTTTAAAATTCGCCTATTGGATAATGGTAAAGAATACTGTAAGTATTGCAAAATAAAATATTTATCAAATAATTGTAAGCAAGTATTTAAGTATAAAGTCTGAGGTGGAGTGCCCCCCCCCCCCAGACAACCAGGACATTACCTGATGGTCAATACTTACTCAATAATACATGGTAAACTCAACATTTACTTTTATGCAACAAAGTAACTTCTGTTTTTTCTTCTTGTCAGTAAAAATTAAAAATTATAATTATATTTTAAACTATAGTATGCTTATATTGTACAGTAAAATAAACAATAACAATATGTTGGTACCTATAATATTTTAATTACCTATATATTGTATATCAATGCTAATAAGAGTAAAATTGAAAAGTGAATTGTAATATATGTTTGTTTGACACAACATGTAGATCTACTCCACCCCTGTAAGTAGATACTAGTAGTTTATGTCTGGACAGCGAGTCCCCCTCTACGGCTAATGGGTATATCCTCACAGGACACTTTGTATATAAAATAAATAAAAATACTGCTTAATAGGTATGTATAACATAGTTTACCAATATTATTATCTTTTAGATAACTTCAATAAAGCGTGGCATAAGAAGGTTGATTATGTTAAATCTGCAACTGAAAGTGAAGATGGTCCTTAGAGATCAAAACAATCGAAAGTTAATTTTATACCAGACTCTGATAGCGAAATTGAAGGCAAGTACTTATTATTGAATATTAAAATGCTTATATGTTATATATTAAATATTATTCAAAATGTATTTATAAAAGTAAAATTCATAGTATATGAGTACCGAAAACAATGAATGAGTTGCAATTTATAAGATGTAATTTTGACCTGATTTTGGTATTATTTCAATATATTAGAAATGTACACATGCTCAATTAAACTCATAACTAAAACTAATCGATATTATGAATTATTATACATTCACTTATCATAATTTATTAAAACAATTAAATTCAACTAATCATTTTTTGTCTTTGGAGAAAGAAGTAGGTCCTCATAAAATCCTTAAAGTTCCCAGATAAAATACCAAATAGATAAAAATTTGCTGTTGTAGTATTTATAATGATTTTTCATTTAAGTAGGTTTTTACAATTTTACATAGTATTTAATTATGCATGATTAGCATAATTGTCTAGGAAATTGTGATTCTTATATTCAAATATGTTACTTTTTGATGGGTGTACTTATTAATATACAGCATATTATAATATAGTATCTATTTAAATAGGTAAATTAAATTAAAATCTAATACGTATTTTTTTACAAGACTGGATTGTATATAATATTTATTTTTTTTTTAGATGATGAGACTTTCAATGTTATGCCAGCTTCTACTACTAGTAACTTAGTAATTAGTTAATCTACCTATTACTTTTATATATTTATATATTTATATGTATATATAAATTACATATTTAATAACTATATAATCCCATGTAGGTGTCAGATTTAATGTCCACAAACGATAACATTTCATCAAATATGTACGCAGAAATGGAAAATGTGTCACCTTTAAGTTACAATAACAATCCAAATATATTTCCGCAAACGGTAATTATAAATCTGTTTTTTTTCTTATTAAAAAAAATATATTTACGGAGTTTAGCAGACTTGATGTTTAATGTTTTTTGATATACCCCAAATAAATTGTTATAAAGATCAAAAATTAATTTGTTCGTTAGGAAAAAGTAAATGCAACTGTCGTATTATAGTTGATTAAATAATTAATATTTTAGCATTATTGATCAGCAGTTATTACAAGTAAATCTAACAGCGAGCTACAGTTAAGCACACATTATACTTCCTCACCAGTTTTTAATGGTAAAGATATTTTGCTGCTTAATAGTTTCTATTGGTTGGTTAGCTTAAAATTCATAATTAAAAATAATTTATTATTTTTACTTCCAATTGTTATTAGGAAATCATTCCAACCATGAGCCATTAGGTACACACACACCCTCTCCAGTCTTTGATGGTAAACATGATCACATATCAGCTTAAAATTTATATTTAAAAAAAAATAACCGTTTTTACTTTCTATTATTATTAGGAGGTACTATGTTTCGTATAATGGAAACGTTAAACAATCTGGCTAGAGATCAAAATATAATCAAATTAACACAAGAACGAATTTTATCTAAAATAGAAGTGCTTGAAATTAATTCTCAAACTGGAAGACAGAATTTATCAGAATCTATATATCTGGATTCAAGTTTCTGTGACCATTTCCCTATGCAAAATGTTAATATGTTTTTGGAAGTTGAACATTTGATTACAGACGATAAATCATTTACAGATAAACTGGTATGAACATATATACATTTATTTATATACTTTGAGTATAGTTCAATGTTTTCCTTTCATAATTAATAATATTAACTTATTTGTGTAGGAGTATTTTATAAAGAACATTGGAGGGTGTAATTTGAAAAATTATGTAAAAAGAACATTAGGAAAATTGTTCACCGATAACTATGCAACTCAATGCACATTGACTATAAGAGGCAAAGGTATTTTAAGTAAAATTGGTGATTCTGAAATTCTCAAAATGATAAAAAGTAAATAAATTATATAATTGATATGTTATGGTAACACCATTGTAATTATTGCATTTTAAATTGTATTTTACTAACAGAAGTAATTAAAGAAGTTATCTGCACTATGATGAAAAAAGATGTAGTATCAGATTCAGAGATAGAAACTATAGTGGCGGATTGGTTTAGATACTCAAATACAAGACTTTTGAGGTCAACAAAAATTACAAAATAGGGTTTATAATTTTATTTAAGTACCCTTAAATGTATTTTAAATTGTTTTTCTTTTAATCATATAGTTATTAAATTTTCAATTTTAAGTACACCCGCAGTGTTGGGTAGTAGGATACTATCTTTTATGTTCCCATATAATAAAATATTATGTATGATAATTTATACTATGCAGATTTTTGGTATTTCTTAATAAAATCAACAGTATTATACCTAATCTAACCAGTATAAATAATGTGTTTAACTTATTTTAGACAACTACTCGAAAGAAGAAAAGTTTGGGAGATATTACATCTGGACATTTAAAAAAAAATCTCAATTTGGAAAAGAAGAAAATTCCTAAAATACAATTGCAATTAAATTGTACTACAAATCCATCGAATACGCAAAGTAATATAGAAATTAATCATACTGTAATAGATACTCAATTACCAACCATTCCTAATATTTTTTCGTGTGAAGTGCAATGTTCCTCAAATGAATATTTTTCAACCTCGAATAGTAATTTATATATAAATATATCTGATGATACTCAATTACCACACTTAAAACAAAAGCCTAGCATGGACATAAAAGATAAACTGCGACAATGGGTTATACAATATAAAATTTCTCATAATGCTACTAAATCTATTCTTAGTATTTTAAAACGTGAAGGCTTAAATGTTCCAGTAGATGTGCGCACTTTGATGAAAACACCTACAACACCACAAGAAATAGTTATGATGGGTCATGGTTCATATATTCATTGTGGTATAAAAAATATGTTAGTTCCAGTACTGAAAAATATTTTGATACAATTAATTGTGAAGGAGATTTAAAGTTAGGTATTAATATAGATGGTCTCCCGATTTCAAATAGTTCGAAAAGTCAACTTTGGCCCATTTTTATATCAGTGATTAATTCCCAATCAATAAATAAATATGTGCTTCCAGTTGGGATTTTTCATGGAACAACTAAACCAACATCCGTCCATGAATTCTTTCAACCATTTATAGATGATCTCTGTGAAATATTGCAAAATGGTTTGTTTGTGAATAATAGATTATTTACATTTAAAGTAGGACACATAGTCTGTGATACTCCTGCCAAAAAATTTTTTGTTGAATGTACGAGCACATAATGTCTATTTTGGATGTTCGTCTTGCACTCAAGAAGGTGAATACATTCAACATAGAATGACTTTTCCTGAAATTGAAGCTCCCCTCAGAACAAATGACACATTTCGCAATAAAGTTCATGAAGAATACCATAAGGGTGACAGTCCTCTTGAATTCTTACCTATAGATATTGTTAACGATGTATGCCTTGATTATATGCACCTTTCATGTATAGGAATTACAAAACGTCTAATTACTTTATGGGTTAAAGGAAAAAAAAATGTTAGACTTACTGAAGAACACATGTAAAATGGATCAAAAAACATTCTAGCTCTTAGACCCTATGTGCCATCAGAATTTAGTCGCAAACCACGGGTATTAGAAGACATAGACTATTGGAAAGCTACAGAGTTAAGGTTCTTTCTACTTTATTCTGGCCAAGTAGTCTTAAAAGGAAAATTAAAAAAATCTTTCTATACACATTTCATGTTATTAGTTTCTGGTGTTAAACTATTAATAAGTAATGTTACATGCCAAACTCACAATGAATTGGCTGAAACACTTTTTAAAAAATTTGTTACTCAATATTCAACTCTATATGGAGATATAACGTACATAGTTTATTGCATCTCCCCATGTTTGTTAAAAATCAAGGTCCACTTGACAAATTTAGTTGTTTTAAGTATGAAAATTATTTACAGGAAATTAAATTCTCCATTAAATCTTCCAAATATTGTCTCCAAGAAGTTTTTAATAGGATTAGTGAAAAACAAAAATTGTTTTTGGTAAATCCACTAGAACTACAGTATTCTGTAATATGTGAAAAAGAAATAGAAAATCGTAGTTCTTCAATACATTTAAAACTAACAGATAAGCTTTACAAAACAATTGTTTTAAATGATTTAGGCATGAAAATAAATATTATAAAAGAATGTGATAAATATGTAAGCTTAAAAAATAACTTTATCGTTAAAGTGAAACATATAGTGCAATCAGACCTCAATAAATCCAATATTAAATTAATTGTGCAAAGATTTTTAAATTGCAGTTCATTTTATATGACATCTCTTATAGATTCTTCAGTTCTAGGCTCATTTATAGTAGATTTAACAATTTCAGAATGTTTTTCAGTAAATCTTGATGAAATAAAAAATAAATGTTTCATGATTCCTGTTAGTACAGATAAAGCAGTTATTATAGAACTTACACATTCTTTTTTTGAAAAATAATAACAATGAATAACTTAAAACAATGTTTTTAAGTGATTTTATTTATTTTTAAGCGTTTTTATTTTTATTTATTATATATTATTTGAATTAGGTACTAGTATGGAAATAAACAAATGTATTTTTTTTATTAATGTATTTGTTTAAATTTAATTTAAAATGATTGTGATTTGATCTATAATATAATATATATTTAATTATATTATGTTACATACATTTTATTTATTTATTCACATTTCAAACTAATTTTAAAATTTGTATAAAAGTTGATTTTACATTAAAATGTTATTATTATGTTTTTTGTGCATTTGTAACTTATATAAGTATTAAAAATTCTATAGTTATAGTTTTGTAAATCAATAACAAATCAAATTTAATTAAAACAAAATATGGAAATGTAAATAAAATGTAATGTTGTCTAGATTATATTGTACTTATTATAAATTTTACTTAATATAAATATGAAAAAATTGTTTTATTTAATATATTTATTTTAAATGTATTAATATTTGTATTGTTATTTATTAGTCTTGCCTTACCTGTAAACCCAGTATATACTTGTAAATAAACAACAAAATATGATACCTAATTCATTTGAGTTTTTAATTTTTAAATTTTCAATTTAATTTCTTAGTATTTAATTTAGTATTTATTATAAACGTAACTGGACCTTCAACTTGGGTGGGAGGGTTCTTTGCACTCCTCATAGCATCTATGCACTCAATTATATTTATCCTATTGGATTTATACGGGAATATTTTGTGTAGGTATCAATAAAGTAAACATCTGTAATATTACATGGTTGTTGAGTATGTAACATACAATCAACAATTTAACTAAATATTTCCATAACATTTCAATGGAATATAAAATGTTACTGAGATGTTTATGTGTAACAGATAGGTAATATTCTCTGAATTACAGCAGTTATAAGCATTAGCAATCGCATACATATTACAATTACGTTATTTCAACCTAAAATGCGATCAAACACTGGGGCAATCTTGTCTCTCACAAGCTACAAAGTATATTTTAACAAATTTAACAAATTATTCTAAACATAATAATTAATTTTTCCTATCACATATTATTATGTCTTATCATACAATTCAAAATAATAGTAATCACTCCACAGATATATAAAAATACTAGATAGACGACTCCCTATTCCTACAATGTAATAATTATGAAGCCAACAAAATGGCCGAAATACTCTTATCTAAGAGGTGAATGTTTACAAAATATAAATTATGATAAACTGTGATAATTTTATGGCGGGAATCAAAAACTATTAAATAGGTATGTATTACAAATTACAATATCATTATACACTTACTAGTTACAACACGGGCTAAGATGTACTTATACTTATATTTTTAATTTTATAGTACCTATATCTTAATCCTTGACTTAAAATTAAGATTAAAAGTATAATTTATTTTAAAATAAAGTAAAACAAAAAAGATTTAATTTAATATTAAATATAAGAGAAAATATTATTAATATATATCTTGTACTTGGTTAAATTACAAAAATTGGTTAAATTAAGAATATATTTATGTACGAGGCGTGTCCCAAAAGTAAGGTCTCCATAATTATAATAATCGAAATAAGCTTTATTCAAAATATTTTTTACATGGTTATATATACAGTACTTATGAGTTATTTTTCCACATAATCGCCATTTACTTGGATGCATTTTTCTAGGCGATCTGAAAGTTTTTGTATGCCAGCCTCATAGAAACTCGCCGCCAGCTCCTTATTTAGGTATTGGGTGACTTAAATGATATATTCGACTTATGCCGAACAAGGAGAGGATTTTTTAGACTCCATAGTAACGGGTGATGAGACATGGGTTTACCATTTCACTCCTGAGTCCAAACAACAGTCACTGGAGACATTCTCGCTCACCGAAAAAAAGAAAGTTTAAAGTGACGCAATCTGCTCAAAAAATCATGGCCACTGTTTTTTGGGACAGGAAAGGAGTTCTGTTGATTGAGTTTATGCCAACTGGGACAACCATTAATGAAGCTTCGTATTGTGAGATTTTGAAAAAACTTCGGAGAGCCATCCAAAATCGAAGACGAGGCATGCTGACGAAGGGTGTTTGTCTATTGCATGACAATGCCCGACCCCACGTTGCCCGTGACACAAAAGCACTCTTGGAAAAGTTTGGTTGGGATGTGATCTCACATCCCCCTTATAGTCCAGATCTTGCCCCGTCCGACTACCATTTGTTCTTGAACTTAAAGAAACATTTGGGAGGGAAACGGTTAGAGACAGATGAAGAAGTGAAGACAGAAGTCACCCAATACCTAAATAAGGAGCTGGCGGCGAGTTTCTATGAGGCTGGCATACAAAAACTTCCAGATCGCCTTGAAAAATGCATCCAAGTAAATGGCGATTATGTGGAAAAATAACTCATAAGTACTGTATATATAACCATGTAAAAATATTTTGAATAAAGCTAATTCGATTATTATAATTATGGAGACCTTACTTTTGGGACACGCCTCGTAATAACAAGCCTCTTCTAATTATTAGACGTTGAGTTCCAAAATAAATGACATTAAATGGTATAATTAAATTACAATTATTTTATGATCTTGTATTTATAACCATACAAAGGATGGAATTTACATGTATTAACTTTAAACATACGGTATCATACAATATGCAGCTCTTAAGTTTTGACCAAAAGTTCAATCTTTAAACTCATGGTAAATTATATTAGTAAAATATGATTTAGTTTTGTTAAGAATGATTTTGATTAATTAATTTATAGTTTAGGGTAAAACATTGTTGTGTATGTAAAGCCACACATCAAAATCAAATACGAACATTAAATATAAAAATCTTGATTTAAAAATAATAAACTTATGTAATAATACATTTGCATTCGATAATAATATTTTTAATGCACTTCAATGTGATAATGTTCCTTTGCTAGATAGACCCCATAAGATGGTATTAATTTCATTATGAGTTAAAAAATATCTAAGTATTCGACTTCATTCTTTTGGCAAAATGTTTTCAACAGAAATTTTAAATCCTGTTAGAAAAAGACAAATAAACAAATAACTTTTATGAACCAGTAGTAGGTATAAAATATATGTAGTATAGACTATAGGTATCAGTTTTATTTTAAATATTTGTATTATTATTAAATTAATAAATATACTAGTTTTGTTTTATTTACTTGAAATATTTTATATTTATTACTATAATATGTAGCACTAGTATAGATACAAGTTTTGTTTTATTAATTTTTAAATATTTTATGATTATTATTATACCGGTTTTATTCATTTGAAATATTTTAAGATTATTATTATAGGTACTAGGTTGTATACCAGTTTTGTTTTGTTTTTTTTTTTTTTTAAACATTTATTATATTATTATTAAATTAGGTAGTTTACCAGTTTTATTTTATTGATTTTAAATATTTTATTATTATTATTATTATACTATGTATACTATTGTCTATTAGTAGATAGGTAGGTACCAGTTTTATTTTGTTTTTTTTTTTTTTAAATTAATTTTAATATTAATTAAAAAATTTATTATACCAGTTTTGTTTTATTGATTTTAAATATAGTTTTTCAAAAATAATAAATGGATGTAAAATTTTTACTTAATTAATTCAGATTGTTTTTAAAAATATTTTACAATAGAACAAATTTTTATAGAATAATGTAATATTCACATGCACCATTACATAATTTACATAACTGTTGAATAAGCTAAAAGTTGATAATATGTATTTAAGACTTATGTAAGTAAGTTAAGTTATTAACATCATGAACTAACTATACAACATTACAATTTACAACTTAAATTTTTAAAGTTTAAACTTATAATTTATAATATTGAATATTCTCATATTATGACAAATTGATAACAATAATATCTTTATCATTGTTATGAAAATGTAAACATTCAACTCTTAGATAAGAGAATTTCGGCCATTTTGTTGGCTTCAAAAACATTTCCAAGTTATCTATCTAGTATTTTTTATATATCTGTGAATCACTCTTAAATAATGATATCACATATTATGTCTTATCAGCCTACCTTATCAACTAACTCGAATTCAAATACCTAAGAAGTATACTTCTTATATATTTATAAATATGATAGTTTCTTTTATTTATTTTTGGCCACCTTTTTTAGTTTTTCGACCACTGTGGCGTAAACGGCCCCAGGTGGTCGACGTGTATGATCTGAAATGGAAGTCGTCCTGGTGGTATCGGATACAGCATTCCGGGGCCTCTTGCTGGAAGGACGCTTATGGGTGAGACAGTCGATGCACATACCGATGTGTTGGCTCACGTAACGGCGCAGACACGAAAACTAGTAGTCGGCGGTGATTTGTGCCACAGTTCTATCGACGGCAAAATTACCTCCGTGGTCATGAGCTTCGATGACAATATCTTTTCTCATGGACTTCGGTATCACCAGCAGCGCACGTCCCTTATATCGGCGAAATAAGACACCTGAGGACAGCTCGTAATTTTCGACCTCGTTTTTCTCTTGCTTGGTGAGTTTACCGTTGACTTCGAGGAGTTCGATCAACCTGCCCGAATGTTCGTCAGCTTGCTGCATAAAACGAACTCGTTCTTCCTTTGTCAAATCGACGCATACTTCGAGTCGCTCAGTCAGTTCTGCGTCGACGGGTCTCGACTCCGTCTTATCGTCAGTCGTAGTCAGAGAGCGTCGACGTGGGCCATCCGCGTTCCCGGACGATACCTTATTTCAAAATCGTATTCGTGGAGCACCTCCTACCAGCGGGCTATTTGAGGCTTAACTGTCTTATGAAGGTTCAGGTAGACCAAAGCCTGACAGTCAGTGAATACGACGAATTTGACACCCAGCAGAAACTGACGGTTGAGGGTCCAAATTATCGAGTATAATTCTAGGCGGGACGAATGGTACTTCGACTCGGCGGAAGTCGTCCGTTTACTCACCGCGTATACCATATGTAACGTCGTCGCGGTGTCACCTTGTAGCAATATGCCTGACAGCACGTGGCTGCTTGCTTGAGTGACGGCGGCGTTAGGGTCGTACATGCTGACTACGGGTTCATCACACAGAGCTTCCCGGAGAGTGGTAAAAGCTTCCTCCCGTTCTTGTGACCAGTCGAATGACACGTCCTTGCCGGTTAACTGCGTGAGCGGAGACGCGATTTGGGAGTACCTCACTATGAACCTCCTGAAGTAGCCGGATAGACCCAAAAACCGTCTTACTTCATGAGCATCGGTTGGACGTGGAAACTTGGCTATCGCATGCACCTTTCTACCTGGTTTGACGGTCCCTTCAGAAATGCGAAATCCCAAATAATCGAGTTCACGGGCGCCGAACTTGCACTTTGATGGTTTGAGTGTGAGGTTTGCGTCGCGTAAGCGCTTAAAACTCGACGCAGATCGTTCATCATAAGTTCCCAATTTTTCGATGGTAGTATAATGTCGTCCAAATATGTGCTCAGGCCTCAGAACTCCGTCCTTTTTCAAATTTTCAAACACGATTCCCATAATTTTCTGGAGCGTCCCCGGCGCACCCTTTAATCCCAAAGGCATACGCTCAAACTTGGAGGTCGACTCTTCGGTGACGAACGCTGTTTTGTCTTTTGCGGCACTTGCAGAAATCCATTGGATAAGTCCAAGACTGTAAAAATTACGCCATGAGACAGTGCACCGAGCTGTGAATCTACGTCTTGCATTATTTATGGCTGGTTCATTGTTTGTTGGTTCAGACGTCGGTAATCGACACACGGTCGCTTCTCACCCGACGATTTGCTGACGAGGGCAAATGAACTGAACTGGGCTGGCGTACTGGGAGGTCGAATCGCTCACGATGCCTGCTTCCTTCCAGTCTCGAATCGTGTCGGCGATTAAACGACGGTCGGAGGGTGATATTCGATATGGTTTGAGATTAACCGGAGCGCTATCAGGAATTTCCGTAATATCCATCGAAATCACATTTATACAGCCGAGTTCATTGAATTTTTCGCGAATGAGTCGCGATATTCATTTAACAGCTCAATTAACGACTCGCGTTGAACTTCCGTCACGTTGGCGTCGAACACGACGTCGTTGGCGGTAATCGGTTCTTTCACGGGCGGCTGCTGTTCGACAAGAAAAACTTGTAGATATAATGAAAATGTTTTACGAGTTGCATTCTAAAAATGAACAAGACCTTCATCTTCAACGAACAATAGAAATAAAAGAAATTACAAGAAAACGAAAACCAGGAACTTTTTGACCTAACCACCAGTTTACAAGCTCGCTTAACTGTCCTGGAGCAGCCACAGAAAGTCGAACATGAGACGAGTATTGCAGCTGAGGATTGGCTGGGCTCAGTGGATGCCCTTGCAACAATCAACTATTGGCCAGTGCAATACCACCTTCAGTTTGTCAAATCGAATTTGACAACTGCCGCCCGAGGATGGTTTTTGACGGAAAGTTTTTGCGACTGGTCCGATTTCATGCTTAAGTTCCGCGCCACGTTCGTTCGGACCCTGCGGATATCCGACCGTTGGAATATAATGAATGAACGTTGCCAAGCTGATTAGGAACAAATCGCCGATTACTTCTACGACAAACTCCAGCTCTGTCAAGCACTGAATCTGAGTTTCACCGAGGTCCGTGAGCAGATTATTTCGGGCATCCGCTCACAAGGACTAGCCACCTACGCTATGAGCAGGACGCACACCGCCAGTTCAGAGCTGCTTGCCGACTTACGTGAATTGGAGCGCTTAAATGAAATGCGCTGGAGGCAATTTCCGATGTCACCAAAGACCGCCTCAAAACCGAGTAGAGCTGGTGGCCAACAAACAAACCAGGGAACAACCCATTATCGCCGTGGCACCGATAAAGGTACGGCGTCGTCAGAGACTCACCTGAGTTCCTCAGGTTTCGTTGCGGGACCCCGAGGTACACCTCCTCCACAGTTCGGTGTTATAATTGTGTTGAAACGGGGCACATAGCGAGAAACTGCCCCAAACCGTGGAAGCCGTGCTCGGGATGTAAGTCCACGTTTCATTCGCGCGGCCAGTGTACTGTCGCACCACGCCCGTCCACGACAACAGCTGAGACTATGTGCGCCAAATTGGTACAAGTGGTACCGAATAGTAATGCTTTTATAAAAACTGTATACTTCAACGAACACAAGACCACCTGCCTCATCGACTCGGGTTCGTCGCATGTGTTGGTGCGGGCCGGTTTGGCTGATCGCGCGGGAGTCACAATGCGTCGGACTACCCGACCAAGTTTACACGGTCGGTGATGTGCATCAACCGAGTTTGGTAACTCTTGGTGAGACCAACGCGAGCATCATAATCGATGGAGCGTACGCAGAAGACCACCCCGTCTGTGTTGTCAGCGACGATTCAATACCGGTTGATGTATTAGTGGGCCGAACGTGGTTGGACCTGCCACACGTTAATTATTATAAAAGGGGTAACGAATTTGTCATCGAGGCTATCGGCGCGATATGCCCTTCCGTCACTACCGAGATCGTCGAAAACGAGTGTTCCGATATACAGACGACACTAGTGGACGTGGAGAAGCCTGTACCGTCGCCTTTGGTAGAGCAGGACGTCAAGATCGACCCAAACGTCCCGCTTGACGAGTGGTTGAAATTGTTAACACTGCGAAACGAGTATCGACACGTATTTTCCAAGTCCTTGGCGGAACTGGGTTGCACCGACGTGCTCCACATGGACATCGTGGAGGCGCCCGGGAGCAGCCCGTCCGTCAGCCGCCTTACCGTACCTCTCCGTCCGACCGTCGAATTATTTCTCAAGTCCTGGATGAATGGAGGGCCGCCGGAATAATCACGGACTCCACATACCCCGTACGCCAGTCCGGTTCTGCTGGTAAGCAAGGGAAGCGGTGAGAAGCGGTTGTGTGTTGATTTCCGGCGATTGAATCAACAGACTGTGGATCAACCGTACCCAATGCCGGAAATTGACGAGCTGCTCAGCCACCTCGCAGAGGGGAAATTGTTTTCCACCTTGGACCTCTCGAATGGATTTTTACAGATACCACTTAGTGAAGAAGCGAAAAAGAAGACTGCTTTTGTTACCGAGGATCACACAGCGAAGTTTGAGCGCATGCCTTTTGGTCTGAAAGGAGCACCAGGCATGTTCCAAAATACCATGAATCTCGTCTTTAAGGAGGACGCCGGTGATATATATATATATATATATATGGATGATATTATTGTTCCGTCGCAGGACTGGGAACACATGCTCCACGTGATGCGACTTGGTTTTGAATCCCTACATTCCGCGAATCTCACACTCCAGCCTGCCAAATGTACTTTAAAAAAGGAGTCATAGCTATAACTTGTATACAAAAAAATTTAATCATAATTATTATCTTGTAAGTATGTTTACCTCTATGATTATATATGTCAAAAATAAATGATGTTTGAAAAATATTTAAATTCTAAGCCCATTTGCCCATTGCTCATAAATCCAGTGTGAATTATTGTTTAAATAACGAGGCCATTGAATACAATTATTTTCTTCATAATATACTATACACATACCTATAGTAATAACTAAAAAATATTTTCAAACATCGTGACAGTCTTATTTTTAGATTCTGATTAATATAAATAATATTTTTTATAATGATAGCATAAATAATTTAATTTTTTTTATAGAATGCATCATACAGAGATAATGTTACCGAATGTTTGAGATCAGAAGAATTTGATGTCGAGTTAATTAATTCGCTGACATTTAGACAAGGTGATGGTATTGTAACAATAAAGACGCCTTTTGAAGAAAAAGGAAAGGAGCTTTGGGTAATTAGCCACTATAAGGTTGCTAACATTGAGAATGTACCAGTAAAAGACAGGTAAATACATTGGTTTAAATTTAAAAAACCTATTGATGAATCTGTTTTTTTTCATTGATTTTATTTACTTCTTTTTGTTTTTAAAATAAAATAATTTGTAGATGGAAGTTCAGTGAAGCTACTGTCAGATTGTATACGAGCGACGAATCAAAATATCAAACGCTTCATACTGGTCTTAATGAGACAATGCAAACCATATTTGACAAATTACTAACCGATCCGAAGCGTCAGACTATTAAAAGCAAGAAGACCGTTTGATTATTATATGAAAAAATGAGTTTCATTTAATAAACAAAATATTATTATACATGTATGTTTTTATTTATTCAAAACTTAAGAACTTGGAAAACATAAACCTATAAACTATGGTTGGTTGGAAAAAAATTTAAAAATTTAAAAATTATAGTAATCTAAAATACTAACAAATTTAATCTACTTTTAAAACATAATATTAAAACTAAAACTTATTAAAACTATTCTTTATGATTTAAGGTGAGATGTAATTAAAATAAAAAGCAAGTTTATTATTGAATAAAAAAGTTTTATTAAAAAAAAAACAATAATTTTACATATTTAAATATTTTTATAATATTAGATCTTGTAAAATCATATCAGACAATGTGTTAAAATGGAATTGTAATATTTCATATAAAAATGATGTGTCATCGTTCTGTAGGTGATTATAATAATTAAAATCATAGTTTTGAATATATTGGTTAGTAAATTCGTTCCTTTGACAGGTGGACGGCAGACCACGAACATCATTTTTAATTGGGTCATATGCAGTGTTGAAAGTATTTTGATAATTTGCTAAACGTTTTTGCTTGTCTCTCGTGTATAAATTTATCAAATTCTGTAATTGACGAAGCCGGTAAAAATCTACATGCGACAAGGTAATGTATTCCTTGTTTAGATGTAGGGTAATTGAACTTTGTTTAACATTGATTGAATGTGAAAAGGAATCGGTAATCTTAACACATCTCACCCTGGTATTTAAATTATTAAAAATTGAATTGAAATTAGATTCAGACATCAGTGTAAACCATTCTTTTAAGCTGAATGTAATAATTTTCTTTGAAAGTTTACATTCCAATAATAAAATAATTGAAATCTGCTTGTTAATTAGTAATCCAACTGTAATACTTTTCTTGTTAAAAGCCCGGATGTCGAATGTAGACTTACTGACAATTATTGGTGGACTCATAGTGAAGTTATTTTTGTTAAATTTATTTTAAAAAATCTTTTGTATAAATAAAAAGTAGGGTATAACTGTTAGGAGTTATACATTGAACTGCTAGTTTTTCGGTTTTCCATTTGCAGTCACATTATATACTAAAAACTATGAAAGAAAAATTGTGATCCTATAGAATCTATATTATTAGGTAGGTACCTATATAGTTGGTTCAATTAAATAATTTATACCTGGATTTATCAAAATTTAAACGTCGACCAACTCTGCTATGCTGGTTTTTATCTATTTTACTTATAAATTGTTTAGTGTATATTCCAGGACTTACATTTGTAACTTTTTTATGAAAACTATTTAAACATTTTGGACCAAAATTAAATGATGAAACTGCAGCATTACATCTTGCACTGTATGATCCTAAAATACAAATTAATTTCATGTGATATTATTTAGATATGTATAAATATCTTTTACTCAAAATTTATACTTTTACCTCGTAAAGAAAAATTCACCCTTTTTCCACCAACAAATTTCGCTACTACGCTATTAAACCCTTCTACAGCATTATTGTTAACATTGTAAATTAAGCTTTGAGCATGATGGGCAACTATATTTTTGGCTCCTGATATATCTGCCCATAATCCACAAGATTCCATTTGAGGTACTAAATCAATTTCGTTGTCTTTTGGACCAGTGCAAAAATAACTAAATAAAAATAACAACTGTAATAATCATAGAATAATAAGTGATAATGTTGGTTATAAAATAATTTACCTTGAGCATTCAGAATGGCTACCAAATACATGAAACGGACTATTTAAAATATCTTTTTTTAGAAGAATCACTTTTTCATTATGCGACAAAGGCATTTCTTTTCTATGCAATATTGCCTTTGTAACCGCGCATCTAAAATATTAAATACCTAACATATTAATTTTCTCAAAATGAAATATAATAATAAGATTATATACAATTAATTTTTTTTATTATTACTTATGTATAATTATATATATTCTTAATATACCTTAATTTAAGCCTTCTATCTTTTAATGTTTTCCTTAAAAACCCTGGGACTACAGTTCCAGAACAACTTTTACGACGAGCTGACATGTCTAAAATTCTATTACAATAGTTTCTTAATATATGGTTCATACATTCTATTTTTTTTACATCTATGTCGTAATCAGCGTAAGGTTTAGAAAGTGTTAACTTCTTCATTACACTTGAATCTCCATCTCCAATTAATTTATCATATATTAAATTATGCATAGTCACACTTTGACAGAATTCCTCGACAATTATATCGGATTCCATGGCAGTAGAAGTCCCATTCCAATTTTTAAAACACTGATGAGATGGTGATTCTTTTTCACTATTTTAATTTTTTTGGCAAACTGAACAGTGTTTATTACGTACACCCATAAAAAGAACTTTTTTGGTCCTATACCCAATGATAGACGCCTAAAAATAAAATAAACATCAACGTTACAAGTGTTTAGTAAAAAAAAAATAATTAAAAAGACCTAAATAATTTTTTTAGAAAATCTGACAAAATACTCACTACACCAGACAAAGCATTATAGCCACTTTTATAAGATCTCTTTGACCATGCGCCATCATCTATCACTGTAATCAATGGAATTCCTTTTTCATTGACATTATTTTCCATTACAGCTAACGCAGCTTCTTCTTTGCCAGCATCAATCATCGCATCAAAAGACAAATCTTCGGTGTGCTTTTTTACGTCATTGTGATATTTTTGATAACTTGGATTGGACATATTCGGCATATTTAAAACTGCTGTAAAAGTGTCCAATTGGGAGAATCCTTGTCCAGTATTTACAACTGCTGTAACCACTGCTGTATTTATGCACACCAACGAAGAATTATTACATCCAGTTGTTATGACTTCTAATTTGTTGCACATCGTACACTTAAAAATAAATTCGGAATAAAAACCATTTTTTTTTTCATTTATTAAAGTAAGATCTTTAAATGAGCAGCCAAAAAGTGGGTGGTTGACTTTCTGAATCGAATCAAATAAATGATTTATATTAACAATACGTCTACCGCCACAAATGAACCTAGTGAAAAGAAATTAGAAAAGTATATTATATGATATGCTAAAATTGTAGGTATTTATACCTAAGGTTTGAAAATATGGTACAAGGTGCAAAATATTTAGCAGTCCAAAATTTAATGCAGGTTGTCCATAAGTTTTGCTTACAATTATTATAAAAAAAATCGAGAGTAAGTCAATTAAAAATTTTTTACGAGCGTCTAAATTTTCAATTTTTACGAGACTAAATTCACATCCGCATTCCATCCCACTCCACCTCAACCGTACGTCTGTACAGCAGAGCGAGTTCCCGATTTTTACTTTTGACCACCCAAAACACCAACTAGATTCATTTTGCTACCAAAACCCCCCCCTGGGTTTTTAAAATTGAAGCACTTTTACTGCCCCAAAAAATGATGACAGACACACACAAAAAAAAATACACATCATTGTAAAATCAATACATTCATCACTTCGTTCAGAACCTAATATTTTTTGTTCGGCCAAAAAATTCCTCATAAGTTATTTAGTGGAAATAAAAAGAATGTTGAGCGTGAACCTACAGTATTTTTGTATTACAGTCTAATTCAAGAATATTGACAAGTCTTCAAAATCACGAAAATTTGAAAATTATTTTGTGTTAGGAATTCATAAAAATGTTCTATTAATTGTATCTTAGAAATTCAAATTCAAATGTTGAATAATTGTTCAGTTATTATAATATAATTATGTTTCCATTTGAAAAATATTACCTGTTATCGTCGTGTTCATTACTATGATTTGATGTGTTTATACTCTATAAAAAAAAAATATATACCTATATATACGTAAAAATACCACTGAGATTTAAAATAATTATAACATCGCATTATTGAACAACTTTTTACCTGATTATTGCTTATTTCTGTTACGTTATTGCTGTCGTCATTGCCGAGTTCTTGAATTTCTTTATTTTTTTTTTGTAAATTTGCCAAATTGTGTTTCAACATTTTTCGTCTTATGAATAATTTAGCTCGTTTTTTATTACCAAAACGCCAATTACTCATTTTTACCACAAGAAAATAAAATTGGTAGTGAGTACAAATAGAAACGTGCACGGACTGAATCACGATGTCATAATATACTTTTTTTTTTTTTTTATAATTTTTATTAGTAATATACAATCTATGCACAAAGGCATAATAAGAATATGACGTGCTGAAATAAGTTTTAACATGAAATAGGGTGAGGGAAGAAACCATCCAGTGATCGCACTTCACTTTGCTTAAATTTCATAATATACTAAATAATATTTTATTAGCAGCTGTGTATCATTATAATATTATGTAATTACCACGGACTAAGATAGAATGGACTGATATCGAATGTCTTATCAGTGTGACGCAAATGTTTCTCTAGACAAGGTACCAGAGTACACTATATTCAGCGCCATCTATGGAGAAATAATCGTAACAACTAAAACAACTAAAACAATATTATTAAAACAACTTAACAACTGGTACAACTTAAAACTGAAAATTCTCTAAAAATCTAATATAAAAATATTACAAACCACAAATTGGCATCTTACAATTACAACTATGCATTATTAAGTGTTTACAAGTTTTGAACATTTCTTTTTCTTTGCGTTGACTTTATTTTGATCTTTGTTTGAAATTAGTGAATACTGTCGCATTCTCACTGTTATATAATGAGTTATAATGTATGTAAGAACTTTATTCTTGTGATCTTTACATTGAAATGAAAAACAGTATTGGTAGAATTAAAGAAATCATCAATGGTCAGTAAAAAAACATCTGGATTATCATAGTACTTAGACAATGATTGTTCTACAGAAGATAGTAGGTTAAATATAAAATGATTTGGATGAGTAAGTGCACCTCTTGATTTCAAATTAACTAAAGCAGCTTCTGGTCTATTACAATAATTTTGTTCACCTAGGTATGAATTAATTTTAGTTTATTACTGAGTAATACTTACCCTTAATCATTTTAAGACAGGCATCACAGTTAAATTTTTTTGTTAAATTTTTAGTTATAAATCCACAAATATAATATATTACACAGTCTTCGACTTTTGATTTAAAATAATTGTGAATATTATTGTCAAATATATCATCTATTTCTGTATCTTCTTCTATCATTGAATCAATTCTATTTTGTAGTATATTAATTTTTTCTGTCCGCTGAGAAGTAGAATTGTTCTCATTAAAAATATTTTTTAAATCAGTGATGGTAATTTTATCCGTATTGGAATCTAAGATTTTACAATTTCCGGTTTTCGGTGGTTTTAGTATAGAATACATAGACAACATTTTATAAACCTGTAAAAATGTTGCTGCACAAGGATGGTCATTTGGACCAGTGGCTTGTCTTGCCATTCCAAAAAATTGCTGTAAACATTAAATTGAGAAAACAATTTATTTGTTAAAAGATATATAATAAACATATTTTTAATATTTACTTCTAAACGGTCTTGATTCATCTTAAAAGTAAGAACATACTTAAATTTACATTCTTCTAATAGATATTTTGACAGCTGTATAGTAGAGTTAATTGTCACACGTAACCCATCAGCAGTAGACTGTGTTAGAAATTCTTGATTTGATATTTTTTTATGAATCATTTGTTCTTCCCAGTTGTCCAGCCATTTCAGGTTTTCTTCTAAAATCTTTACCCACAAAAATATTACAATTTAATTTAATATTTATCAGTTTGTATAGTTGATTGAAACTAAATTACCAAAAAATCATTACTGTTCTTTCTTATTCCTTCTGCCGGATGTTTTCTATTAAGAATGTCAAACAATTTGTTGAAACGTTCTGTAAAAAGTTGGGTCTGAAAACTATTTTTTAAAACTTCAATTTTTTCATAGTCCCTATAAAATTCTATTGCTTTAGCCATGGAGTCACTTAATACCTAAAATAGCAATTGAAATTTATTTATTTATTTACATAAAGATGTTAGATTTATTTTAAAATTGTGTTGATAAACATAAATTACCTGAGTAGCTAACTTTACACTCATTTTACTGAAGCTATCTACATTCAAATGTCTCTGAGTGATTTTTGGACAAATTCTTGATGGCAAATTAGTGCTTCTATTAATTTCACAATTGTAAACTTCAATGTAGTGTGACCATCTTATGTATGGTAAGTCTGGTGATTCCTTAAAGATTTAATTCTACTTTAATAACAATTTAAAATTAGAGTGTCATATATGGGAAGGTCAATGTGCAGATTAGGTACATAAATAGTATATTAAATAGAACAAATAAAAATATTATTGACATATCTTACCCTCAAACTTTTTTGATTATGAAGTCTGTTTCTAACATTTTTAATCAAATGAGGAGTGTCAGAAAACATATAAACATTTCGTTTATAATTTAAAGGATGCTTAAAAGAATTTACAAATTTATCTTTTTCTCCACTTATACCTAGCTCACTCCATAATTTTCTATTGGTAGAGGCTCCATCAGAAACCACACCATCAACAATAGCTCCTGATTTTTCTAACAAGCATATAGCTTTGATAATTAATTGAGCCAGAACTACACCTAATAAACATACATTTCAGTAAATAATATGAAAAAGATTTGGAGATTCAGTTAACTTACGAAATATAAATCATAAGTACCTAATATAAGTGTTGATATTGAATATAAACTTTCTTAAAATAAACACAAGCAACATTTAATTGTTTCAAAATACAAATAAAAACATAAAACAAAAATTTAGTTTTTGAAACCACAGACATACCAACAACACAATAGAGCACTGGAAATAATCACAAAGTTGATTAGTAATTAGTAATGTTAATAAGAAATGGGTAGATGATAATATATAAACACATAACATTGACACAAAACAATACATTTACATTAGGTACCTATACATAGTTATATATTTAAAAATGTTGGTTGCCTTTGACTGATCCTTTAGACGCAAAGACAGCTATTGGTTGGATAAAATTGCTTGTAAAACTTTGGAAAATAAATACCAATCCATGGTTTGCTTTCATTCCAGATGATTCAGTTTCTCCACCAAAGTCTTCTAAACCTGAATATGTAAGTTCTCGTGTATTGACTTTCAAACTTTCCCGTAAAAAAATTTCATCAAAAATAATCATTCCATGTCTTTCATTTGAGTTTAAAGTAGAAATTTTTTTTTTTAATAACTGAAAAAATTGCTCATAAAATCCACACTGTGTTTTAATGAGGGATAAATATTTATAAATTGTACTCTGACATGGTAATGGTAATATATCCTGGTTTTTTAAAAACCCATAAGTTGATGATGATCTATTCAAAAAATAATAATTAAAAATGTATTTTATTGTTAGGTATTGCATTAAATGGTTCCTACCGTATCTTTAGAAGTATGCATAATAAGATCCAATCCTCAGAGTATCGTCTATTTTTGGAAATAGCTACTTTACTTGAATTTATTATTTCTTGTATTATTACTTTTTGTGATGTATTTAAATTGTATGTTTCAAATATTTTTGTGACTGAACTATCATTTAAATCTTTTGTTTGCTGTTGTAAATCACTTAGGTTTGAGTTCAAATTTGTTATAGTTGTTCTGAGTCTATATTTATATTGAAATTATTGAAAAGTTGTTTTTACTAATTTATTAATTCAAACAAATAATAAATAATGAATACATTACCTATAGTTGTTTTGTTTTAAACTTTTTTTTCTTTTTACAATTTTGTTAAAAACAATACGTTTCGTAGGACTGAGAGTAGGCCCAATATATTTTAATCTAGGTTTTAATGACCTTTTCCTATATGTTCTAAAATAAGGAAATAGTATATCACATGGTGTGCATCTTTTTGTTGAATCAGTTAAGATACTACAGTTATTTGACCGCCAAAAAGTGTTTTCAATCTGTGCACTTTTGATTTTAATTCCTAGAAAATAAAAACAAAACATTATTTGAGCCCAAAGTATAGGTATTCAATGATTTATATAAAATATTGTACCTGGATAGTTTATGATTTTTGGACCGCCCTGACAAATAATTTTATCATGGAACAATTTAACAGCATTAATTACTTCACTTACATGAAAAGGATAGATTAGCTGAGTCAAACCACAGAAGGAAGGTTCAATTTTTTTCTTGTTTACATAGTAAGTTATGCCAGATTTAGGACAAAATACTATTTGTTTTTCAACAAATATTTGTGTCCCATCTCTTCTATATTATAATGTAAAAGTTTGTATATTGATATTATTTCAATGTGTTTATATAATTTCCATCCTATTGGTAACAATACATCAGTTGAGCTTTTTAAAAATGTTTCAAATGAGTCAATTTTCTCTTTTAATTCCTATAATAAAAGTACAACACAAATAAATCTTTCAAAATTTGGTAAGAATTATTATTAACTTACTGGCAAAGGAGCTAGACATACTCGTTTTGTCATTGGTTCTTGGTTTTCAAATAATTGTTTTCTACATGGTTCAGTATAGCTATTCTGTACAGAATGTGGTTCAGTTATGTTTGTATGCTCTTCAAATACTGATGGAATTGCTCCCTTTTTTAAAGCAACTCGTTGCCTGGTGCCACCAATCTTAAAAATATAAGTGTTAAAAGCCACTAATGAACTATGTTTAGTTAAAAATTATTATATAATGCCAAAATATTTACTTACAGCTTGTATTATCTCTGGCGAAACGTTGACGTACTGTGTTATAATATCTTCTGGCAAGAAATGTTCACTACAAACATGGCTAATTTTACATTTTTCATTACCATTTTGATCTTGTATAATTGTATGCCAGGCTATGGCATCTGTATTTGGAACTTTAAATAAAGTAACTTTTTGATTATTTTTATTACTTTTACAAGTAATAATGGAACATTTACGAGGCATGTTTCCTTTCCTTTCAGACGTAACAAAAAAATTAGTGGCTTTAACTAAAATACTGATATTTATTATATTTAAACATTTTATAAAAAATTCATTGGAGGAAAAATTTTTTCAACTTTCAACCGCCTTAAGGATTTTTTTGTGAGGTAAATTACAATAATACATTTTGTTATAATAAGGAAGCTAGGTTCTTAGACAATTTAATAAATACAATTAATATTTTTCAATACCATTGTATAATTACAGATGCGTGGTTTATTAATAAAATCTGAAGATTTAAGCAGCTTTACAGGTCATTTAACTGATATTTTAATAGTGTCATCTAGTGAATATGATGGACAATATGATAATGGTGTTGAACAAGTTAATTGTAAATCTGAAGATTGCCAGTGATAGATTTTTGCAGAGAAGTGGACATTGTATTGTTATCGTTCCAACCGTATTGCTCACACAAGCTACAGCCGTTGGACCGATCCGTATATGGACCATTTAAAAAATATATTAACCAAAATATGACTTCCTGGATGACAAATAATCCTGGGAAAAGAATTACTATTTATGATGTTAAATCTATATCTTCTAATGCGTTAGTCAGTGCGGCTACACCTAGAAACATAATTAATGGATATTCTGTGTCAGGGATTTGGCTATTCAACAGGGATTGCGTTTACTGAGGATGAGCTTGCTCCAGCAGTAGTCACCGATATGGTCATAAATTCAACTACTGAAGAACTAGTAAATACAACTACTGAAGAACTAGTAAATACAACTACCGAAAAACTAGTAAATACTATTACTGAAAATCTATTAAATTATGTTAATAATGAGCCAGTAGACAGTATAAATCCAATAATTATTGATGAACAACGTCCACAAAATAATGAAATATCACCAGAACATATCAAACCATATCCGAATCCGAAAGCAGCATTACAAGATAAACTTAAAAATAAAGGAGGTAGGAGAAAAGGAAAAAGTGCAATACTTACTGATACACCTGAAAAATAGAGATTGAACAGAGAACAAAAGTTAATGCTAAAAGAAACATAGATTTTGTAAAAAATAAAAGTAAAAAACAAAAACAAAAAATTAAAAACCTAAAAAAGTCATTGATAATAAGGTCAGTAGTGATGACAGTGTCGAAGAAGAAACATATTGTTTGATTTGAGCTGATCTTTATTCCAATAGCAAACAAGGAGAAACATGGATTCAGTGCAAAAAATGTAAACTTTGGGCTCATGAAGATTTTACCAACCAAATGTTCACAGCTCCATTACACATGTGAAAACTGTGAAGCAGATGACGTGTAGATGATGTCATGATTTAAATTTGTTTTTATATTTATTATTATATAATGGATAATTTGAAGTCTGAAGTCAAGATTTAAATTTGTTTTTATATTTACTATTTTATTAATTTTATAGGTATTATGAATAATTTGAAGTCTGAAGTCAAGATTTAAATTTGTTTTAATATTTATTATTATATTATGAATTGTTATAAAATTGTTATTAAAAAATATACTAAATTAATAACTATACATTACCCACCATATATTTTAACTAAGATATTTTTAATCGTTAATAGGTAATAATAATAATTATATATCATGATGTTTGAGTCTATAGAATAGTTTGGTTGCATCTACATTCTACCTATATCTCATGGTTATCACTTTATCAGGTTTGATTTTTAATTTAATATAACATATAATTATATCAATATCATTGAAAAATGGAATTAAGATATGTGTAACATTTAACCCCGAGGTGTGTAACATTCAATTCCAGTCTGGGACAAATTTAACATTTTTTTTTTCTTTTTTTTAATTAAAAATATTTATTGTAAAGGTTGATATTTATGCAGCTATTGTAATATAATTGAATAGCTATGAAGTTCCTTTATCAAATGGTAACGTTAAAAATCAAAAATCTATACAACAATTTCTTAAAAATGGAAAAAAGTACAAAATGTTACGATTGCCCCCGGTCTCCCCTATATAATATAGTCTTTAAATTGTAACGAGACAAAACCGAACGGGGTGTTCCCGTGGCGCACTCTCGTCACCAGTAGTCACTCTCGCGCAGTGATTAATGATTATACGCGGAACACACAAACCAGTCGTTCACGGCGCTCACTAGAACGCGCTAACACCACAACTTCTATTTCGCCGGCACGCCGCCCGAGTAAAAAAATCATTTTCCGACGAAAACCCCGCAACTTAAAACCCTTTATACGTGCCGAATTGGTTCCCGTTCAAAAAAGATATTTTATTAAGTTGAACCGAATTGGTTCCCGTTACATTACGCACATTTTCCTTCTCAATTTTACAGGCTTAGGACGGTCAACTTAAAAGTAGGCTTGGTTAAAAATGTGCGTTAATGTGTGTTATGAAAAAATGATATGATGTATATAATGTTAAATTGTTGATTTGGAAGTCAACTAGTCATCACTTAGGTTAGGTGTCAAAATATAAATAATAATAATAAAAAAAATAAAATAATTTAAAATCGTTGATTTGCAAATTTGAAGCAAACTTTCTTTAAGTATTCAATCCTCGTAAGCTTCTCAATAATGTACTCAGTAATACAATTTTCCAAGTATTTGTTATTTCCTTAATGTTTGCTAGTAAGTTTCCTAGTATTATTACTTCGAAATTTAATATAATTTATTGTCTGAATGCTGTTTAAAGTCTCCATAAAATAAAATATATTAGGATGGGCACTTGTAAATTCTTTATTCAGCTTTGAATGGAACGATTCGCAAAAATTTGTAGTTCTATCAATATTTTTGTCAAATCTAGCCCAAATTTTCGGTGGAAAGATACTATCTGTCATTATATATGTATCATGGATGTAGTCAAAGAACTGATCCAATTTCGTGCAGCAAGGTTTTATGGCCATCAAATCATTATAAAAACAGTCTTCGACGTCTTCGGGTGATAATAAGGGTAGTCCAAAAAATAATTTCAGAAGTTGTCCGATTTCTGAAGTATTATCTTTAAATTCATTGGAAAGACCAAACTGTTGAATTTTTCTCCACCATGACTGACATAAATGGAATCTGCAACCTCTAATTGTAACTTGCTGTAGCTGTGAAGTTATGGCATTATGAATAGCTGTTTCAAAATCAACGAAAATCGTGCCAACTGTTAGATATTTTGCGACCTTATTTAATGCGAGTATGTAAGTGTCAGTAGTCTTGTTCGGGATTGACTGAATACGACAGGAACATAGTTATTTTGTACCTTGATAAAAATAGAAAATAATTGGTAAAACTGCTTAGGACAACTTTTGAATGTTCCATCAACAAATAATGTAGTTGCTTTCTTGAGTGGTTCCAAGTTCTGCGTGCATGTAAATGTAATTATATTGTTGACAGAATCATTGTCATAAATAAAGTTTTCTCCGAGATTAGTTATTAACGAATATTCACTGACATTTTTGTGCAGTTCTTCAAGATTAGAAGGTAACTTGGGAATTGTTCTTAATTTAGCAGCATTCAAATTTTTACGCACTCTGTTAATATCAGTGTGAAGTAGTGACTCACTTTTACTGTTTGAAGCTATCTCCTTGCGTATAATTTTAGATGGTCGCTCTGTAATAAGTTCGTCACATTTTCTTTTTAATGAATTTGTCAATTGTTGTCGCACAAGTTTACCATCACCTTCTTTTTCATGGTTATATGTTAAGACTTCTTCGCATAAAAAATCTCCATTCAATTTATCGTATGCTGTACATTTTCGTTTTGTACATATCCGCCTCTGTATGTTATCCTCTGCAAGGTTCTTTTGGAATCCAAATTTGAAATTGTCAATAATCAACAACTTATTTCTCTTTTCACTAAACATAAACTCCATAATTACGAAAAATTAAAATTAAAAAATATAAATTAAAATACGAATTTCAAATTTATATAGTTATAGGTACTAAAGTTGTTCGATGTGTTATTCGAGACTGTACAGTGCTCACCAACATTATTGTCATTCGTACATGGGATATAGATTATAGACGATATACCATAAAGTGATAAAAGTACGTAGGTATATCTCCATCGTTATCTTAATTGATCGGGGTATCACCGATAATTTTCTAAACTTCCAATATCACAATCCATTGCCATCTTATTGTATATTAGTTTAATTATGCTATGTTTATGGTGATACACGAATGGGGCTTACAACAAAAAAGGGGGGATACATCATTGGGGCCTTAATAGCTATGGTTTTTATAATTTGTATATGATAGATAATAATTTTGTTACGTTGCTGTGGGTCTGATGGTTGGAGTCCTTTGAGGGATATTCGTGAGGTGTTGAATGTAAAAGTCCCTCGAGAAACCAATCACCTCGCTAATGCACAGCTTCCTCATCATTGTCGCGTACTTCGGACTGCAGAGTTGGTGTAAAAATTCATCATTTTTGGTGAACCATCCGCCTAGGGCACCAACAACAAAGGGTACTACTGTGGCTTCCACCCCATCAGTCGTGGCTAGCTCACTGCACAGGTTGTGGTACCTCTCCACTCTTTCTCTGGCGGCAGAGTCAAAGGCAGCCAATCTATTGTCGAACGGGATGGTCACGTCAATTATGAATATGTTCTGAGACCTTTTGATTACCAGGTCAGGCCGTAGGCCAGAGTTGCCACACACCTGGTTTTCATATAGGATTTCAAACTTGTTACTTGCTGTGGTTTTTATTCGTTCAACTACGGCATTGTGGCGGGCAAGGTAGAGACCGGAGTATCGCATGCAGTGGTCGACGACGTGAGCGAGGCTTTCTGTTTTGTAGCCACATCGTCGGCACCGTCGATCTCCGGTTCTCCAGGTTGCCGAACCATTTAACGGGACTAGGTTTAGTCTAGCCCTGTGAATAAACCTCCAGTCTGCAAACCTAGTGTAGTCGCCGTTTCTTATAAAGTGTGTCGCGGCGGGGTGGGCTGCGGCGCACTCCATTGCCCTGCCTTGGTCCGCTTTTAGTATGAGGTCCGCACTCCTTTTTGATCTGTAACTGTTTCGCATTGTGCGCATTACATCGCATTACATTTTTCGGTTTTAGTTCGACGCCCATGTGTTTTATAATCGTGGAGTTATTTGTGAAATTCCAATTGACTTTGTTGCGTTTTGAGGCCATTCGTGCGCACGACCATACGCTTTTCACTCCTGTGCCTCTTTTTGCGCGAAATGGACCCTCATCCTCACCCGAGAGGTATAGCGCAACCTCTTCTGTTGACGGTGGTCTGCCAATTCTTTTTTCCGTCGTTGTGTGAATGTGGCTCCTCGCATCGGTGGCTACTCGTCCGTCCGGTGAGGTTAGAAGTTTAAAGGCGCTATCAACTGCCGCAATGTCCGAGTCCTCGGCTAACATTCTGATTCCACAACAACCGCCGTTTGTGCTGCCGTACAGGTATTCGCTAGACGCTTCCTGGGGTAGGTATAGCGTCGCTTTAATTTCCGGTCTTATTATGTTATCTATATTCTCCCAAGCTGTCTTCTGGAAGGTCCCCATCCTCATCAGGTGTACGGTGGAGGGAAAGAAGAAGGTTTTCAATGCATCGATTCGTTGCCACGGCGCAAGTTTGCTACGCATAATTTTGAGGCCTATGTTTGTCATCTCCTCTAAAGATGCCATGTGTGGAACAATGTTGAAGCCAACTTGCGCTCCCAGGAAGGTTGCCGCTTCCCCCTCCTGTAGCGGTATAACAATTCAGTTCCCTATATTTATAGTGGAGTGTCTTACTCCGACCAGGGTCGGACTGGCCAATATAACCGACTAGCCATAGCCAGTAAGGCCCCCTTGTGTGTATGACTATATGGGGCCCCATCTAATGAACGGAAAAAATCATAAGTATAAAATATATGAACTGTACATTTATATAATGTATTATATTTGTTTAATAATAATCAAACATAAAAAAAACAGTGTAGTTTAGACGGACAAAACATGTTTGTGACGTCTCAACAGTCAACGTTTCTGTTATCGTCTCATCGATGCCAATTAAAAATAATAATATATATGATTGATCAATATTGGAATTTTAGAGGTATTTATTTTTAGAACTGAAAACCTATTCTTATTGCTTTGAGGAATACTTCAATCAGTAGGTACACAATGATAGGTATATTTCCTTGATTTATAAAAATATAAAAATTCTATTAAAAATGATATTGTTATTTCAATATTAATTGTTTATATTGTGTCTTAACAATTAACACAATGTGTTTGATTCTATAAGTACATACAAGCCTTCTACATTTTCCTCCTTGTCTTAAATTAATAAATAACATTTTTAACAATTATCAAAATAGCTGGTAGTTACCAAAAATTTTGATAATTTATTATAATCGATCTCTAAAATATACTATAAAATAAATTGTAAATAAATTTAACTAAAGAAAACAGTACATAAAGATAAATATGGTGTTTTGAGTAACAATTGTAAATTATAAAGTTTATTTATGATAATTTTTTGTGAAAAAAATTTATCAAATTTACAAGAGAGTTATTATTTATCACTATTGTTGACTGTTGAGGCCCTCTCTATAAGTAAACTGCCGGTGGGGCCCTTAGTACCCAGTCCGACTCTGACTCCGACCGGTGACAAACCAGACATGTGTAACGATGCACATTTGTTCACATTGATTTTTAGGCCTAATCTGCCTAGTTCGGGTACAGCCGTATCAACTCTCGTCTGCAGTTCGGCGGGGGACTTTTCGATGATGCACAGATCGTCCGCGAATGCCAGGACCTTGTGGTCTTCTGCCTCTTTTTGTATTGTTCTTACCACAGGGTCAATCGCTAGTATGAATAATAGCCCACTGAGTCCCTGCCTGATAACCCTGCCTGATTCCCGACTTGATCTCTATGTCACTTGTTAAGCCGCCCGAGGTGACTACCTTCGAAGTTGCCCCAGAGTACATGTCTTCCACTATCTGTCGCAAACCAATGCCTGCACCACTGTTCGCAATGGCCGCAAGCAAGACCTCATGCGGGACTTCACCGAATGCGATGGATACATCTAGCCAGGCAACACAGTAGTCGCCTTTGTGCGTGCGGGCGGTTTCTATACGGCGGTGGAGCGTGTATACATGCTCAAAGGCGCCGTCAGCCGGTAGGAAGCCCTTCTGACACGGGCTTATCACCTCTTCCGAGATGAGCCACTTTGTTACCCTGTTGGCAAGACAGCCTGTGTACAGTTTGTACAAGGTACGACACAGCGATATTGGTCTCCAGTTAGACAAGTTTTCCGGGTCGCCCTTTTTATAGATCAGTATGGTAGTTGCGGCCTTCCACGAGTTTGGAATCCTCTTATGCTTCAGACATGTGTTCAATATTGTGGTCAGTAAGGAGCACGATGGATCCAATCTCCTCCAATGCGCGTAAGTCAGGCCGTCATCTCCCGGTGCCGTGTTTTCAAATTTGGCCAGGCGTTTACCAACCTATTTGGTATCAAACGGCGGTAGTTGCACTGGCTCTCGCGTGTGAATTGGGTAGATGGATGGGTCGCAGGACGATGTTTCCCAGGACTTTTGGAAGTGCTCCTCAGTGCGGTCTATCGGGACCTCGCATTTTCTATTTGCTCCAGCTAGTATCAAACGGACCGCCCGCCGTCTATTCCTTCTATATAATTTCTGGATCCCCTGTGCGTCCTCGGTGTCAGTGGTCTTCCGGTTGGACGACTGCGTGTCTTCTCTGTTCGGCAGTTTTACAATTGCAGCTGCCTCCGACGTGATCTTAACAAGCAGGGAGCAGAACGAGCTCCAGACCTGCTCGTTTACGGGGGCCCTCGAGATCACCCGGGCGTCATGTAGGAAGGCGTGGATTGCCGTCGTATCGTCCGGGGCGAGGACAGCGTCAAGGTCTTTGTTTCCCGGTCTAGATACGTCCGCTTCATCCACCGTGACGTCTATTTCAAGGTCGTCGTTCACCTCGTCCTCGGTTTCGGAGTCATCGGATATTTCAGAAATCTCGTCATCCACCTCGGACTGTTGCTCTAAGGTGCGGCTGCATGTCGAGCTATCAGTGCCAGCTGTTATTGACTCATGTGGCATGTGCAGTCCGTTTATGTCACTGCTGTTGTCGCTGAACTCTGCCATGCTTGTGTCAGACGTGGGATACTCGTGTGGTGGTGTTTGGTTGTCCGCCTCTCCTGCTACCTCGTCATGTGCATCTGCTACAGCCCTCACGGCTGTCGGTCTGATGGCGTCTCCGCAACTCGAAATTCTCGGTTAGGGATAACTATGTAAACGTTGCTTGGTCGCCGGCCGGGGTAGCTGCACAGTGGCCGCGTTTACAGCTTCTTGTCGTTTGTGGTTCCTTGTGTGGTTTGCAAGTCCCTGCTTTGAAGTAAATGTACTTGTGCATCCAGCAATTGAGCACAGAAATCGTTCTGTTGTGTTTACACAGTCCTCGATTGCAAGGTTGCACTTGTGACTGCCTGGTCGGACGCCCAGCGTGACGTCGCAACCTGTACATTTCACTACTGTCGAGTCCGGCTCGATATGCATGGCTCGCAGGTGTCTGCCGAGTGATTGTTTTGCAGTGGTCCATACTTCTGCTTTAAATTTTGCACAGCAGTCCTCAAGCGGGCAGGTGATTGTGGCCGGTGGTGGATAATAATACGTTAATACTGGGCCTGAGAGTCGTGGCTGCTTTCTGGCAGCCGCTGGAACTGGAGTTGACGTGGTGGTCGAGGTTGGTGCCGTCACTCGCCTGGTGGACGTGCCGGTTGTTATACTTGAGCTGGTGTGTGTGTCCGCTGATTGCTGACTGGTCGCCCTCCTTCGCTGCGTGGTCGTTGACGGAACCGGCAGCCTTGACGGTGTTCCTGCAGTGGCGTCTTGTCTCGAGGATGGACCGGCAACCTGGCTGCTCCCGGTGTGAGCACGTGTGGCACGAGTGAAGATTAAAATAAGGGCCACCAAGTGCTTCAGATGCCTCGGATATGGACACCGCAAACAATTCTGCACTGGAACAGACCGCTCTGAAGAATGCTCCCTCTGCACGGGCAGAGAGCACACGGCATCCACAAGCACATCCCCACCCAATTCGGGGCATGCAAGGACATAAACGAGCAAACTGAACACTACCCAGGTAGTGGGAAGTGTACGGCATACCAGAGAGCGATGGATCCGAGAAAGCCGAATCCACGCGCAAACGAGCGGAGAGGGTCACACACTGACAGTGTCACCCAAACGCAAATCAAAAATGTTTAAATATCTGCAGATAAACCTGAACTGCTGCAAAGCAGCTCAGGCTCTGCTACACCAAGTAGCAGCAGAAGAGGCAGTAGACTTCATACTGACCAGTGAATTCCACAGAGAAGAGGCGCCAAGATGGTACGCAGACGCATCGGGCAAGGCAGCCATAGTGAACAGAAACAAAACGAGATTAGACAAGGAAGGACTTGGAGAGGCAGGATTCAGGTGGGTTACAGTACAGGGAACAAGAATGTACTCATGTTACTGGTCACCCAACTCCACCATCCAAGACTACAAAGACTTTGTAACCAGACTAGAGAGGTCAATAAGAAGCGAGACAACAGAGGTGATCCTCACAGGTGACTTTAATGCAAAGCACACGGAGTGGGGCTGCCCAAAGAATGACAAAAGAGGAGACATACTGATGGACATGATAAACTCCACCGGCCTGGTGATCTGCAACAAAGGGAAACTAAGCACGTTCAACAAAGGAACAATTATTGACCTGACAATAGCGACCCCCCGCACAGCCCAGAACATGTCGAAGTGGATGGTCCTGGACAGGGAGACACTGAGCGACCACTACTACATCTTGTTCGAGACCGCCCTCGCACCGCCTAGCGGGGAACAGCAAAGAGTCCACAAGATCGACGTAAACAAGCTAGAAGACCTACTAAAATCAGATCACCTCGACCGCACCGTACAAAGTTGCCCAGACGTAGACCAGTGCGCGCTGGCACTCACGGAAGCAATAAACGAATGCCGCCCGACAGGTCAAAGCGGAAGGAAGGCTAGGAAATCGGTACACTGGTGGAGTCCCGAAATTAACTCGCTCCGGAACGCTGCAAACCATCTACGGAGAGTCTTCCAGCGAAAGAGCAAAAAACATGGCCCAGCACGCAGCACAGAGGAGGAAAAGAATGGCAAAGCAGCCAGACGAGAACTTGCGAATGCAATTAAGAGGGCAAAGGAGTCGGCATGGAGAGATCTGTGCGACCTAGTACAGAAGGACACGTGGGGACTCCCGTACAAGCTGGTCATGGACAAACTCACCAGACCACCCCCACATCCCAAAGCTCGACACCCCTGGCAGGTTGCGACACATCGTAGACGGGCTGTTCCCGCTACACCCGGAAAGGGAGAAGATCAACTGGCCAATGAACTTGGACTGTTATCCGAACTGGGAGGTCGACGAAACCGAACTGAAGAACGCAGCGAGAAGCCTCAAATCAAAAATTGCCCCCGGACCAGACGGGATCACAAACGAAATTGTCAAGAGCATAGTGACGCTGAGCCCACGTACACTCATTAAGGTCTACAACACCTGCCTGGAGAACGGAACATTCCCGAAGACGTGGAAGAACGCCAGACTGGTCCTTATCCGAAAAGGCGATAAGCCACTCGACACACCGTCCTCGTACAGGCCACTATGCCTCCTCGACTGTCTCGGAAAGCTATTTGAAAAAATAGTAGACAATCTTCTGAGAAATTTCCTGGACACAAGCGACGGGCTTCACGAAAGACAATTTGGCTTTCGAAAAGGACGCTCCACCATCGACGCTCTAGAAACACTAAAGAACACAATTACGCCAAACCAAAAAATTGGCATTCTAACACTTGACATAAGAAACGCTTTCAACTCCACCCCCTGGGAGGCAATAACAGAAGCCCTCCACGAGAAGGAAGTCCCTGGATACATCCAGCGGATAGTAACTAGTAAGTAGCTACCTAGATAACCGCACACTCAGCTTCGGAGAAGGCGATAACGAGAAAAACATCAACGTCACATGCGGAGTACCACAAGGGTCAGTCATCGGTCCTACCCTGTGGAACGTTCTATACGACGGACTACTGCGAACTCGACTGCCAGCGGGAGTAGAATACCTGGCATTCGCGGACGACGTCGCACTAGTAGCAAGAGCTGGAGACTCAATAAAACTGGAGCAGCTACTCTCCTCTTCTGCAAACATTGTCCACGACTGGCTGAGACGAGTGGGGCTATCCCTGGCCGAGCACAAGTGCGAAGCCATGATAATTACAAAAACAAGGACACACATTCCGCATACTGCACGACCTCGAGGGAAGCAATAGCAGTCATCACTGGGATCGCCCCACTAAATCTGCTCGCCAAAGAGAGAAAATACCTACATGAAAAGAAGAGGAACCCGGAACTGGTAATACCACCCACAAACATCATGGACACGTGGCAGACAGAATGGGAAAATAGCGAAAGCGGCAGATGGACGTACCGCCTCATCCCAAACATCGGTACCTGGACAGGCCGCCGACACGGAGAAACGAATTTCCACCTGACCCAAGCCCTGAGTGGTCACGGATGCTTTGCCGCGTATCTGAAGAGGTTCGGAAAGCTGGAATCGTCGGAGTGCTGGTACTGCGGAGACGTGGTAGACGACGCTGAACACACAATATTCCACTGCGACGCTTGGCACACGAGGAGGAGGCAAGCGGAGATGACCATATGGACGGACCTAAACCCCACAAGCCTGATCCCCACAATGCTCGCCTCAAAGAAAAATTGGGACACCACTGCAGCCATGATCGAAGCTATCATGAAAAAAAAAGAAGAGGAAGAGAGAAGAAGGCAGGCGGCTCTACTAAATTGATTCAAAAAACTAACCTTATTTAAGTCTTGTACATTGTAAGCCAAACGGCTAAAAACTTTCAGGGTGGTTAGAGGCCCCCAAATTCGCATTGTAAAAATAATTAATGTTATATTATAAATATGTAATTCCAAATGAAATTTTGTGCAACAAATAAACGATGGGGCATGGGGGTGAAATGACCGCAAGGTTAGTACCACCCCATGTTTCGATACAACGTAAAAAAAAAAAAAAAAAAAAAGGCATAGGAGACTGGAGGTGACACCTGTCAGTTGGTCGGTCACCTTTCACCGCCCCGTGTGGGTGGCCGCAGCTTGACGAGTAGTCTTCCGCATGGGAGCTAAGTGTTTATTAAAGTGAAATATGCTCCGTATGTTTTACGTGTGTTGCGCCACCGTTTTTACAGCGGAGTATGGCCTAGTTCAGACTACTCCGCGTCTTTAAGGTGTGCCACCACCCCACGTATTTTTTACGTAGATTGCGCTACGGGCAGTTTTAGTAGATGCCGGCTACTCCTTATTTTTTATAGTGGAGTTACGCCACTTTGTTGAAGCGACCTAGGCCTTACTTTCTACCTCCGGGTGATTTCGGTCGTATACGACCTCCAATTACCGGAGGCTGGCTCAGCACGTGGGCGCGGTACTCCGGCTGACCGGGTACCAAAGCCTATCGAAGGTAAATGTCGTTTCAACGCGCAAATCCAATCACCAATAAAAAAAAAAAACACCGCAATAAACAGGTAGGGAAGCACAGATACAACAGAAAAGACAGACAGAACAAGATCGGGTTATACCCGGCGACCGGCAAGACCGTAGTGCATGTTATGCTGAATCCGTTTAATCGGCGTTAAGCTGATTTTTAAGGATAAATGTTTGGGAGGGATTGGTCTGCGACAAGCAAACATGGAGTTTTTCTTATTTAACGCATAGTGCGTGTAGTACCTGGACCCGAAGGTCTCGCAGAAAATTAATAAAGTGCCGGCCACACGAAGGCCGCTTCGATCAGGTTTGTTGTTTATGGTTTGAAGAATGGTAAAAACCCGACTGGAAAAACCCGGAGAGCTAGAGAATACGCCCCACCCCCCTGGGTCGAAGATTAAGACGATTTAAGTTCGCCCAGGTGCTGATGGGCCCGTGGAATGCAATTGGCGCCATCCTGGGTACTGCGGTACCAGGATCACTCCGTATGGAGCAGGAGCGTGCCCCACAATCTCAGCGAATGTTAAAAAATTTAGCGTTAACGTACAGCTCACCGCATCGCCTGGTACCGGTGGGCATCGGCTGGGCCGTCAGGCCAGATCCGGAGATCTGGAGCCCCCCGGTGGTCCAGACGTCGAGGAGGCGGATCGCAGTCGTTAAGCTGATAAGAACAGATTTTATTTATACATTTTTATGGTGAGACATTTAATGGGGACCTAGGTAGTAAAAAAAAGATGGAACGTTGAGAGAGGGGGGACACATGAAAATGGACTATCAGCTTAATATAAATCACATGACAAAAAGTAAAAGTACACATAAAAAGAATTCACAAAAGAATTCTCAATTATATAAGTACACAGCAAAAATAGTCACAAAGTTAAAAAATACAAAAAGGTTAAAATATATATCAATAATAGTGTAAAAGTGTAAAAAGTATAAAAATATGAGTAAAAGTATAACAATAATTCGCAAGTATAAAAAGTAAAAGGTATAAAAGTATAGTAGAAAAAAGGGGAGCACAGTCATATATAAAAAAGGATCTAGCCCCTTTCCTGTCGCACCCCAGACTGATAATGTCAGTTGATAATACGTAATTATAAGTACGGAAGCGCGCTAGTATGTATAATAGTTCGTCCTGCGTTATTCGGACAGATCAGGTACAATAGAATGCATCAAATCGAATTTTCGCACATTGTCTACCAACACTGAAAAAAATTAATAGTTCATAATGAAAAATGTACCTATGTTGTTAATTATTAACAATAATTTGTTTATCCACGTAATAGAGAAGTTATTAATTCAAGCCTAAATGTTCGTATTGATAATAAAATTCATCCTACAAATAATAATTTATCAAACTGGGCATGAACAATTTTTAATGAATTAATAAAATATTATTATTTTAAAAAATATTTTTTTGTTATATTTAAGAATTATATTTTTCACTTATTGCTATTTTAGTGTTATAATAATATTCATTATGACAAATTATTTTTCAAAAGAACATAAAATGTATTAATATATTATTATAGAAATCTGTGGGTTTAGGTAATTCTATTTATATCGTTATCGTATCCGTTGAATATCCGTTGTTTGGGATTTATCAGATATTTTACAAACGTATTTGTTCAACTAATACCCAAATGTGTTGTCGTGAAATATTCATTATCATTCACAATCTATTCATATGAAATTACAATTTATAAATTGTGTGAATGTGTGATTCTGTTTACTGTTGTCTGTTTGTTTTTGACCGTTCAGCTGAACACTAGTGTCCACGTCGTTTGAACTGTTTGAAGTTCACAAGGTGCACGGTCCACAAGTTTAATACAAGTTTTAATTAACGGTAATTCCTAACACTATAATACCTATACATTAATATCTAACAATAACAAGACATAATGAAGTGTTATGTATGTAAACTCAATGTAGAAAATCTTAAGTCTTTAATAATTCATTTTAGAATTTCCCATTCTCTTCATGCATATAGTTCTTATAAATGCATTGAAGATAGCTGTAGTCAGTCATTTCAAAACTTAAATAGTTTCAAAAAAAATGTAAATACTAAGCACATAATCAATTGGCCTATATATGAAGTCGAAACGTCAACAAATATTTCAAATTCGGTCACAAAGTATTACTTTGTGACACTTTTAAATGTCCACCTGAAAATTCACCTATGCCTTTTGACTTGAAAGCAGCATCCTATTTAGTTTATAAGTCTGCTGTTGAATTTACTTTAAGTTTGCATAACAATAATAGTTTTACTCGTCGAGATATATTAAATATTCAGAAAAATATTGCAGAAAACATAATTAAACCTATTGCTACTATTTTAGATAATATCGTTAAAACAAATATTAAAGATCCAATGTTGTTGTTAGAATTTAATAATGTAACATCAGTTATTTCCAATCCATTTAAACTTTGAAACTCTGAGTATCTTTTGAATAAATGGCTTACAGAAAATAATTTTTCTACAAATATCCAACAATTTATCATCAATAATGAAATTGGTATAACCAGGCAATCAGGTGATGTTGTATATGATGAACAAATAACGAAGGGAATACTCTTACCATTGCAATTTCAATTCAGAACATACTTTGAACATAATGATAACCTTTTAAAAACTTTAAACCAAATTAATGAGTTTAACAAACCGAATAATGCCTTATCACACTTTATCCAAGGAAAATTATGGAAACAAAAAGTATTACATTTTCAAAACAACACTGTTATACCTTTATTTTTATATATCGATGATGTTGGGATCAATTATCCATTAGGATCACATGCTACTATTCAATTGATATCAGCTATACATTATAGTTTTCCTTTCCTAGAGAACTCTTCTAAACTTACTAACATATTTTTAGCTGTGTTGCTAAAATCTAAGGATGTGAAAGACTTTGGAAATGATGTGTGCTTTAACCAATTAATAGATGAAATTATATTTCTAGAGCAAGAAGGTTTATCAATCTCGACATCTAAAGGCAATATGCATGTTCATTTTATTTTGGCCATTATTTTGGGTGATAATTTAGGTATAAATAGCTTTCTAGAATTTTCAAAGTCGTTTTCAGCAAATCATTTTTGTCGTTTCTGTAAAGTGCATAAAAACGAATCACATAATTTGAGCATAGAAAACTTTGAATTATTAAGAAATACAAATAATTATAACACAGATATAATAACTGATAACTTTCTATTAACAGGTATTTATAAGGAATCTCTTTTAAACAAAATACCTTCATTTCATGTCACTAGTAACTATTTCGTTGATGTTATGCATGATTTGTTTGAGGGTGTTTGCCATTATGATTTATGCCATGTTATTAAATATTATATAGAGGATTTGAAACTTTTTTCGTTAGAAACATTAAATCGCCGCAAATCTAATTTTAAGTATGGTACAATTGAAGTAGGAAATATTTGCCCACCTATTCAAAAAAAACATTTAGAAAAATGTCATCTTAAAATGTCTGCTAGGGAAATTATGACATTTGTTTTTTTTTTCATTAATAATTGGAGACTTAATACCTGAAAATGATGAAGTTTGAGAATTTGTTTTAGTTTTAGTTCAAATTATAGATTTATTATTATCATTTAAATTTACAGAAGAAAAAATAGTTTTATTACAACAGCTTATAAAACAACATAATACTAATTATGTTTTACTCTTTGGAGATAACCTTAAACCAAAACATCATTTATTAATTCACTAACCTTCAATTATAAAATATTCTGGTCCACAACGTCACTATTGGTGCTTTCGCTTTGAAGCAAAACACAAAGAATTAAAACTTTATGCTCATGCAATAACTTCTAGGAAACATAACTTTAACATTGGCAAAAAAGTTTCAATTAAAATTTGCATACTCACTCATTCAACAACCTATACCCACAATTGAGTTAAAAGAAAAATATATAGTTGTAAGCCAACATAGTGCCTTTGTTAGTAATTCATTAAATATATTAGACTCTCAGTTCACCAGTTACAAGGAAATTGATTACAAAGGTAGGTACATCATATAAAAAGGGTTATTTTTTAACTGATTTTGTTAATGATAATAATATGTGCTTACATGAAATTATTGAAATTATTATTATTCACAATAAAGAAGAAGTTAAACTCTCAACACAACAAATAAAAGTTGAATATTTTCATACTCATTATGAGTCCTATGTTGTGGATTGTACAAAAATTATATCAATGCAAAATTTCAATGATATAATATATTTTCTTAGTTTTCCAATAAATATTTCTCAATTTGCTAATGGACAGTCACTTATTAGAGCAAAAGAATATTTAGAATTGATAATTATTTTTTTTTTGTATCTAAGAAATTAAAATAAGTGTTGATACGAAATTGTATATATTTTATTTGTCTATATTATATTTTTTTACATAACATACCTATATTTTAAGTGTTTTATTTAGGTAGGTATAAGCGCCAAAATGCAAAATATAAACAATGAAAATTCTATTAATCAAGATTGTGGATATATATTTCCAAACAATTTTAATTTTTGTCAAAATAATAATAATATAGCTGTATCTCAGACAACATTCCCAACTATGAATTTTCAAAGCAATGATGAAAGCAATATAGCATCCATGATAATACCTGCTTCCGAAACAAATAGCTTACCACAGTATTCAATATCTGATGTCCAATTACAATTGTCAGAAAAAGATTCATCTGATGTAAGACAACTACTGATAAGTTGGAATTTAAATGATATAATTGATACATGTTTAAGTAAGTATACCCAAATTTAAAAAGTAAATTTCATAAAAACTATAGCTTATGCCCTTTTGACTCATTACCATTAATTTTAAAGTATGAACAATTATTTTTATATTTATTTGATATTACAGAAGAACTAATTGATATAAGCATACTTAAGTCTATGTCCCAGTCACAGTCAGAAAAACTTTTATCTTCATTTCCGTACGGAATAAAAATAAAATTTTGGAATTCTTTGAAGACTTGGCAAAATACTTTCAATGTGGATAATACAAATTGCAGTGAACATGAAATTGCTAAAAATAATTATGTTATAGATAACACTCCTGTTAGTTTGATCGAAAAATCTTTGATTAATTTAGCAAGCATATTAAATGACTATTCTCAAGGTAAAAAATTATAAAAAATTTGATACATATGTGTTGGGTATTTATTATGTTTATTTGTATACCTAATGTACAAGTAAATTCAAAAATTAATTTCACAAGTTATAGGATAGAAAAATTAGGTATCAATAAAGATATTAAAATTAAAAATTATTAATTGAATTATATTATAATATATTTCGATTATATTTGCAAATGCTCTATGTAGGTAATATGATAAAGATTTTTCAATTACAAATAAATAATTTTTAGGAAAACTAATTGTTGATTACTTCAAAAATCATGGAAAACTCAATGATGCCTGCAGGAATATTTTGGTAGAAATCATAATTGCACATATGGTGAGATATGAAAAACCAATGTCTATAAAAGTAGCACAAGATATTTGGTGCATTCCCTACTGAAATTAAGGTAATATATTTTAATACCACTAATTAGTACTACCTACTTATTAAATTATATTTTTTAATAATTATCCAAAGAACTCTTGAAAGTTCTTTTTTTTTAGTTTTTTTTATTTAAGAATTTAATATAGTGATATTAAGTGATCCATTTGTATTGTATCATCAATATTACAAAGTATCCTTGGAAGTATTAATAAAGTATTAATTAAAGAATTAATAAATTTTTTTTAAAGTAAAATTAATGCAATTATAAATTATAAAATAATAATTAAAATTTATATTTTTAAAGTTAAATTTTTTTTCAGGAAATATATTTTGTAAGAGGTACAACTAATACTTCACCGAAAGGAAAACTGTATGCGAAGTACTACAACTCACTACGAGCTTTAAAAAAAGGAGGGTTACTTCAAAAATCCAAAAAAAGTTACAATTCTAACATTTTGACAAGGAGTGAACTGGAATCAAATTTTGGTAAACATAAAAGATATGTTTTTATGCATTTAGAATGTTATAATTTTTTTTTTTCATTATTTTATTCAACAGAATCTGAAACGGATATAGATGATCACTTAAGCTCAATAAGACACAACACATGCGCTTGGCCAGACATGGAAATACACTGGCAAGCTACAATAAAATATAGATTAAATCATATTCAAACTTGTGAAAGTACAAAATCTATTATGGATTATTGGCCAAATTATAAAATGCCACTCGGTTACAAACTGGTACATAATATTCATTCATAAAGCATTATTTATTTAGATCTGCGTTTTATATTTATTTCTGTTTATTTTTGTTTTAGATTGATATAGATTTCAAGTTTAAGTTTTCTCAATGCGAAAATATGTTGACAAACTATGATAAAATATTTGATAAATTTTTAAGCTTAATTAAAATAAAAGTTAAAGATCCGGCTTCACAAAAAGTGTTAACTGAAATGGAAAATACTGATATTGATGAAAGTGAGTAGGTATATGAATCTCTGATAAAATGTATTGTACCTAACTTAAAATAATACCGAACAATATAATGTTAGTAGATATGAGTTATGTTTAAGTAGTGAACTTGGTGTGAATTTGTAAATGTTTTAATAATATTGTGTAACTTACTTTGTAATGGGGTGATGTATATTTTATGTTGATTCAAACCAATAACAATCTGTTAGATATAAAAATTAACTTACAGTGCTAAAATTGTGTCTTGGTTTATTCTTCCATAATTTTGTGCACCTATACCTATTATCATTAAAAAAAGTTTAATTTACAAATTAATTTTTTTTAATGATACCTAATAGGTGCACAAAATGTAGTAAGGAGTATTAATTTCCTTTAAATAAATCTCATGGTATAGTTTTATTGTTCTGATACAATACATTTATTTTGCAGATAGGCGCAATGCTTGTTTTTTTTATCTTCTTCATTCGGTACTGGTTCCTAAAACCGAAATTATGAAAAAGAAAACAACAAACGTTCACTCATCAAATATTCCATCAAGGATTCACAATCTTCTTTTATAATATTTGCTCATACTGTAGAAGAAATTGAAGAAACAATTAGTTCTCTGAAAGAAAAGGGGGATCCCATACAGCCATTTGTAATGGTAGTGGGTACTATTATTAAACCTAAAGAAATTTTGGTTTTTTTTGATTATGCAAAATTTAAAGTGTACTCTGTTGTTAGAGCAGTGGATATTTGTTTCAAAATTATTCATCTATTTCATTTAAAATATCCATTACAATGTACTATGGTTTGGCATTTTTTGCAAAAAATGTTATACAAGTTGGAAACCCCATATGATACTGTGTTACCTCAAGTTTCAAAAATTATATCTGAATTAAATTAGAAATTAATGAACCGTATATTTTAAATAATAGTTTGTATAATTTTAGCATTATATAGCAAACATTTAAAACATTTATTAAAATTTTTATTTTCCTTTATAATCATTCAAAGTTGGAATTTGTGAATAAAACATTTTTTTTGTTTTTATGATTACTAATATTAATATTTTATTATTATATGGGAAACTGAAGTTTATTATATTGATGAAAATATAGATATGTTGCATAAGTTGAATATATTATTTATTATTCATTTTTCTTTATTACTAACCTAATCTTTTAGACTGTATATTAACATCATAAAAAAAATGGAACTATATTATAACATATTTTGCTATAATGTGCATTAATTGAATTAAGTTCAGTTTTGTTCTAATGTATTTCAATTGATTATTCAAATAATTTTGTATGATTTACTTGAAAAAGATACAATAAGGACAGTTGTAGTTGTAGCATAAGTATTTGGTGGACAGTGGACACCTCCAAAACTAAATAGTATGGATAAGAGGTGACTTACCTGCAATGTATTTTCTAGAATTTCATTTCTACTCATGTTGGTTACACTGTTTTTTTTATCTTAATTTGATAAACAAATTTACAATTAGTTTTTTTAATTTTCAAAGTTGATTTTTTTTTTTATTATATTCAGTCATGACAAAATGTATTTTGTCATGTATTCAGTTACTAACGATTTAGGGCTTGAGCAAGTTGGGTCTCGTTCACTAATTTTCTCATCATTTCATCAAATTGTTTTTTTCTAAGTTATTCTTTAATTTTTTTTTAAAAATGAATTTCCAAAGATGTTCAAACGATGTCCAGTCATTGGTCGACCAAATACGATTCAATTCAACACCAGCGTATCCAGAATTCTCTACATTTGTTTCTAGGTTACGAACTTTTAAGACGTTTCCATCGAACACCGGTCAAAATAAGTACAAATTAGCCGAATGTGGATTTTACTATATCAATCTCGATGATGCAGTTCAATGCCATTGGTGTGGAATAATTCTGCATAGTTTTGAAATCGATGATAATTGTTTCATAGATCATACTCGCTTCTCACCAAAATGTTTATATGTATTATTAATGAAAGGAAATCAGTTTGTTCAAAAAGTCTTAAGTAAATATTGTAAAACCGAAGTTATTTGTAATTGTGAAACTGGTTACGACACCATTTGTTAAATCATGTTTTTTTATACGTATTATATATATATAATATTTGTTGTATTGGTTAAAAAAAAAAATTAAATGTGTTGTTATTCGATTTAATATCTCGTGGTCGTATGGCGTGATAGGTTAGTACGTATAAAATAATTTAAAATGTTTTTCAGGTAACAGGTTAGTAATTTCCCTTCTAGTATGTACTAATCGATCATCTATAGTATAGAGTGTTAAGAATCTACTGTTATGTTATTTAATAATAGAAAATTTGAGAAAAAACAAAAATGTATTGCTGGACCAGATGAAGATTATGGAGCTGTAGACATTGGAATAGATATAATTGATATGTCACCCGAAGAATATGACGCCAAAAAAATTGCATTTTTAAAAAAAATTGATTTATCCGTTGATGAAATGTGTCCTCCGAGCATAAAAGAATATACTCCAGAAGAGGCAGTACATAAAAAAAAAATTAAGTACATGATATCCGATGGTCAAAAAATTACTTTAAAAAAAACTGATAATTATTATTATCAAGTTCAAGCACAACTCAACATTACAGAAAGGAACTACTGTTATTTTGTTGTGTGGACTCCAAAAGGTAATAGTATATGACAATTGTTTTCGTAGAATCTAAAATATTTTAATTTATACGTTCTATTTTAAACGTGTTTATTTTAGGTTTTATAGTAGACAAGATATCCAAAGATGTCAAATTTTGGACATCAAAAATAATTGAACCATTTGTCACAACATTTTACATGGAATCGTTGCTGCCTGAAATCATTGACCCAAGATTTGATAGAGGACTACCAATAAGGTCCGGTATACCGACAAAGAAGCTCTAACTAAATAAAGGTGTATAGTGTATTTATGTAGCAATATAATATAATACAAACAATTGTTTTTTTAAAGACTTACTGTTGTCAATATATAATTTATAACGATTATGTTTTTGAATAAAATTATGAACTATACTCTGTTCAAAATAAGATCGTGACCCGGCGGCCGAGTTGTGCGCATGGGCGTGGCTTTGTTCCGTGGCTGCGTCCGACGCGTCGCTGTAGTGGGGACGGCATCTGGCCATATGTCTGACCGCCGCCCGACGAAAACTGGTCGCCGCCGAGTCACGATCTTATTTTGAACAGAGTATAGGTACATTATACTTTATGTAAGTACAATGTTGTATTTACCTACCTGTTTTGTCAATACAATGCGCGCTGTGACGGTAATAAAATTATTGTTGAACTGTTTACCGATAAAACGAAATAATTACGCGTTCGGGGAACTTACGCACACTAATGATCAGTTACTACACACAGACTCATACAGCAATTCCTAATGAATATAACATATTGCCTATACTCAACCCCTTAAAAACGGTTCACTTTCAACCGCCTTAAGGTGTGGTGTCCTTATTCGATTCCAACATTTCCATCGGCATACGAGCTTAATAAGATGCGCTATATCAATTCGCCCATAACATTTTAACATATTATGATGAGTATTTGTTCTTCCTTTTAATATAACCAGGCATGTGTCCACGTAGGCATGAAGTGCCATTCCATCACAAAATGCTTTAGTTATTCCACCTAAAAGAGCCATAGAGAAATCACAGACTGTTTCTTGTGGTGCTTTTACTCCATCTATAAGCCACATACTCAACCATGAAAAAATTGTAAATGTGTCCGGTTTTTCACTGACCATTTATTTGTGTGATTGACACTTGAAATTTGTCAGAGGAGATAACAGCTTCATACAAAAATAAGGCTGCTTAGTAAACCTTCTTTTTATTTTATTTACAATGCTTCCTGTCGCATCGATTGCCATGCGAACGTAAGATTTTCGATGGTTTTTATATACTACCAATTGAGATAGTGTCCAATAATGTGTTATAAATGGATCTGCACAAATTAAATGGATTGAGCCAGCATATTTTGAATATTTAAGTTCCATCAACGACATTATTGGACACTTTTCTGTTATACCCAATCTCATGTCTTTTTCGCCTTGTTTACATTTTCTTAATACATTTTGAATGCATTAGTGGCATTTCTTCTCCAGTTGCTCGCACAGTCATGTAATACATGTAATAGCTCTTTTCCTATATCATGAAGCTTCTCACCATTCAACGGTCTTTTAGATGTATGCGTAAGTGTAATGTCCATATTTTCTATAACTATGCTAACATTTAATGGCATAGCTTCGTCTGGCTTGTTATCTGCCCATCCAATCAATTTAGCACCACATTCTTTACACAATCCGGAGAAATGAAGGAAATGTTTAGACTTACTAAAATCCGTGGCCACTCGACAACGTTTATAGATGAAATTGCAATTAACTTTGGAAGTCTTAATAAAAGAGTCATTGATCGTATTCATCTAAATGCCTTGTTTTAGAACCATAAATGATTTTTTATTTGTTTTCTTACCATATTTAACTTGAATGGGACCCATTTTTATGTAATCACGATATGGTATATCTACTTTACAGATAATTTTTCCGTCAGACGTAACCTCAGACCCTTCATCAGTTTCAGAGATATCACTGTTATCTGATTTTTCAATAATCTCCAAGGAATCATAAACTAAAGGTTTAGAAACGATACTTCTTAGGATTGTCTCCCATGAATGACGATCCTGGTAGACACTGATGAATAAATGTTTTGGTGTGAATTTTCCATCTAGTTTGTCACTAATTGTGTTCCATAATTCGTGTGAATACGGAATAAGCTTGCCGTTTGAAGAAAAAAAGATAATTTACAACTAATTTAAGTTCTTCCAAAACAATATCTCCACTCGCTAATGGTTTCCTTCCAGGTTTAGCCTACAAAAAACATATTATTACATTTAGCACACTTTTCCTATTGATTTTATTAATATAATGAAGTGGCAGGTTAATCGTGACCATTGTTCTCGAAATATATTAGACATTCAATTTTTTTTTTTCAAAACATTGTGCATATGTATTTTCAATATTTTTCAACTACTATTGTAACAATATATCGGGAGTCTTGTATTAAATTTTCACGCTTTTTGGCCAAATAAATAAAATCTTATAGATATTTATAGAAAAAAAACTAAAAAAATTGAAATTTGAATTTGTCCGTAAAAAGCTCAAAACGAATCGAAATATTTTCAAAATTGTATGGTGTATAGAAAATAAGAATATCGATGGCGTAAAGGAGGAAATATGTTTATTCGAGGAGGAACATATAATATGTGCATCAGATAATTTCAAACCTCGTAAGATTAAATTTTTAGTCGACTCCGGCGCGGAGATGAACCTTATTAAAATAACCGCGTTAGAAGGACATGTCGTAGTAAACGAATCCGCGAAACGCACAATAAAAGGCATTAATGAAATTCCTATATTCACCATAGGTACAATACTAACCAGTATGCAAATTAACGATGTAGATGTGCTCATAAAATTCGACGTCGTTTTTGGCGATTTTCCAATAAACGAGTCAGGCATCATCGGTCGTAATTTCTTAAAACAAAACAAGGTCATTATGGACTATAGCCAAAATTTATTAACTATACCCGAAAAAACTGGTTTTCACGAAATTATATTACCACCGCGTAGCAATTGTGTACTACTTATTAAAAATGACGAAAACATAAGTCACGAGAATATCACTATAAAAAAAAAGGACGTAAACGAAAACGTAATAATCGCGAACAGTATAAGTCCGGTCAATAAAGATAACATTATTAGTAACGTAATAAATATTTCGGAGGAACCATTCGTAATAGACGAGCTTACCATACAACATATCGAGTGGGAGCCGTATAACGAAAACGTCTTAACTGCATCTTTCGCAGATGCCAAACCAAGCGATCGTATAACACAGATTAAACGCGAGATTAAAACCGACGATTTAAATAAAGAAGAACGCGAAAGTATTCTCGAACTCTGTTGTAATTACGCGGACCTGTTTTACCTACCGGGCGACTATTTGAGTGCCACAGAAATCGTGACACACACAATAAACACACCGCGTTGTACAAAACCAATTAATATACGACCGTATCGTTTACCTTGGGCGTACCAAGAAGAAATTGTAAAACAAATTAAAGAAATGAAACATAACAATATTATACGAGATTCTAAATCACCTTTTAACTTTCCACTCGTAGTAGTGAAAAAGAAAAATCTAGATCCGACAGGGAAACCCAAATTACGAGTATGCGTAGATTTCCGAAAACTTAACGAAGTAACCGAGAATGAAGCTTATGGCCTCCCAAATTTACTAGAGATATTAGAGTCCCTAGGATCGTCCAAGTACTTCAGTACGTTGGATTTGGCTTCAGGGTATCATCAGTTGCATATAGACCCTGCTGATACCCATAAAACAGCTTTTTCTACGAAATCCGGTCACTATGAATTTTTACGCATGCCTTTCGGGCTGAGTTCAGCTCCGGCTACTTTTACACGTGCAATGAAATCTGTACTTATGGGCCTTGAGGAAATGTGTACCGCATATTTTGACGACATTGTAGTACACGGATCAAGTTTAAGGGATCACCAGAAAAAATTAGAACAGGTATTCAATAGGCTGCGCGTGCACAAACTTAAATTACAACCTAATAAATGTTCTTTCTTAAGGAAAGAAGTATTGTACTTAGGTCATGTAATAAATGAAACAGGAGTTTCCCCGGACCCAAACAAATTAAAATGTATTCGAGAATATCCTCGGCCGAAAAATGCAAAGGATATTAAATCATTTTTAGGACTACTTAACTATTATAGACGTTTCGTCGACAATTTTGCGAAAATCGCAAAACCACTAACTTACTTACTTAAAAAAAACGTACCATTCGTATGGACCGATAACTGCGAACATAGTTTCGAGGAACTAAAAAAAGCTTTAATGAACCCACCACTACTGATCTATCCAGATTGGAAAAACGGGGAGTTCAACTTAATGACCAAATATGCAATAGGGGCCGTCTTGTCACAAGTGACCGTTCCTAAAGACCAACCTATCGCATACGCGAGTAGGACATTAAACAAAGCTGAATGCAACTATAGCGTTATCCAAAAAGAATTATTAGCCATCGTCTGGGCCGTAAAATATTTCAGACCTTATTTATATGGTCGTCATTTCAACATTATAACGGATCATCGACCATTAACATACCTGTTTGGTATTAAAGACGCATCGTCGCAACTTATGCGCTGGCGGTTACAGCTAGCCGATTACGATTATACTATTACGTATAGGGCGGGACCCGAACACTCGAACGCCGACTGTTTATCGCGTATACGAATAATACAAACGGAATCTACGAATTTCGATACCGAGTTCAAGGACTTCCGTACCGCCGAGAATAAACCAATATTTAATTCTAAAATTCTCGAGGTTGAGGGCGACGTTAGCAAGGTCACGGAAAGTGAAAACATTATAGTCACGATTCCGGAAGACAAAATTATTACGCATCCGACGATACGTGCAATTACCGAAAATATTGCTATTAACGAAATACAGTTTACCGACGAAAACCGGTTCTGTACTTACACCGATGGTACAAAATTAATTATATTTTATAACATTTCCAAAACACACACAGTACCATTGGAGGTGGAAACTATTTATAAAGCCATATACGATATTCGTGAATATTGTATTGCGAATCAAATTAAATCCTTTTCCACTGTCAAAATAGACGGACCTACCTCATTAACAAACTTCTTAAGAATTCGAACGATGTTTCGGTACGTGTTTCGTTCGACCGACATCGTAGTAAAAATATATACGGGTGAACGTTTTACCGACGAGGAAAAACAACAAATTATTTACGAGCACCACGATTCACCTTTGGGCGGGCACTCCGGTGTATCACGCACATTAAAACGATTAAAACTTAACCACGACTGGCGTAATATTAAAAAAGACGTTAAACGATATATTAAACACTGTGAACTATGTCAGAAAAACAAATCACATGTTAAAACCAAACAACCTATGTTAATTACTAGTACAGTAGTTAAACCTTTTGAAAGAATCTGTCTTGATATCGTAGGACCACTACCGAAAACTTTAATGGGGAATATGTATATCCTAACTTTTCAGGACGAGTTATCTCGTTACGCGCTTGCTATTGCATTATCTTCTACTGACGCTCCAACTGTAGCACAGGCATTCGTCGAATGTTACGTATGTACATACGGAATTCCGAAATCAATCCTAACCGATTGTGGAACAAACTTTTTATCCGACGTTTTTAAAGGCATGTGCAAGCTATTGGACGTTAAAAAGATTCAGACAACGGCATGGCACCCACAGGGAAACGGGTTTTTGGAAAGGTCACATAAAACTTTAAAAGCTTACTTACGTAGCTTCGTAGACAAAGACAACAATTGGGACAAACTCTTATGTTACGCAACGTTTTGCTATAACACGACGGTTCATACGTCGACTAACTTTACGCCGTACGAATTGGTATTCGGAACGAAACCAACTATTCCTTCAGCATTTAATAAGGAACCAGAACCACAATATAATTACGACAATTACGTTTTTGATCTTAAATGGATTATGCAAGAAACGCATAAGATAGCTAGGGAAAATCTGATTAAGAAAAAAAGAGTCTAACAAAACATATTATGATAAAACTATGAACGCTATCGAGCTGCACGTAGGCGATAAGGTTCTGATTAAAGAACAAAATAAAAAGAACGCGCTAAGTCTAAACTGGCAAGGACCATTTGAAATTTTGTTAGTACACGACAACGAAAACATAACTGTCCAGAAAGGGCGTCGTGAATATAGAATTCATAAAAATAACGTCAAACGTTATTACGACGATAACGACGACGAACAATGATTTCTTAAATTTTAGTTTTTTCCATAGTCATGTTATTAATTTTTTTTTATATATATACGTAGTTTTCAATTCATTTATTTGAGAATTAGCCAAATCTATCTTACTTCTTATCAACAAAAGCATTCATAAAAGCATGCAAATGTCCACTGTTTTCTAGTTTCTATCCTTTTTTTTTTCTCTTTATTGTTTTAGAATGAAACAACAAATTTTCATTAAGGAACTTAGCAAAACCATAGGGTTACAACAACATAATCTACGCGCATTATATCACGACAAAATACCAAATTGCTTGATATTTCATATCGAAGAGCAAATAAAAAATTATTTTACAAAACATTTTATACACGTTAACTTATTAATTACCAAACATATGTTAGAAACGGATACGATATTAGAAATTATACAACAAGCAAAAATAGGGATTATACACCCCAGTTTAATAACTCCACTAGAGTTACTGGAACACGTCAAAGATATTAAAGTATCTTTACCAGGGGGGACTGATTTACTCACTGACCTAGACATTGCTAACATTTACGAACTGGTGA